TTGTTCAGGTAGGGAGTTATTTTGAGTCTATATATAATCTAATTTTGGCTTGATAACTAAACCAATGGTATGTTGAATATTATTAATTCTGCTGCTTTGCATTGTGTAGGTTTTGGAGTCTTAGTGCTTTTGAACGATTTTCCTGCAATGGCTATGGGAGAAACAAGAGGGGTTCCATGCTGCATTTGCTATCAAGCTGATCAAGGAGTGCCAATCTAAAGGAGCGGAGCACATCTACCTTGTTTTAGTTATGTAATTCTATAGGGAGCAGAACCTTTATGATGCTATCTATGTACCGCTTGTGTTAATTCATCAATTGACATAGTTGTTATGTTAGTGTCGAGCATTGTTATTATAACAAGGACTCTTCATTGTGGACATGATAAATGATGTGTAATGATTATATTTGTATGGTGTGTGTTCAGTAAGTTATTAAGGCCTAACTAAATTAGTAAATATGTTGTGAAAACCGGATGGAAATCTGTCATCGTCGGATGTAAGGGCCATTGGTTGTTTTGTCATCACCGCCGTACCACTCGCCTTTGGTGAAGCAGATGGCCATCACCACCGTTATTCGTCTGATGTGGCAGGGGTCAATAGTGCATCACCGCCGAATCGTTTAGTAACCCGACACCAACTAAAGGATCATCACGGGTGGATTGTTCTACAATGCGACCGTGACCATGCCCTATGACTAGACGGTTCATATGCTGAAGCGATGGTGATGTTCGCCTCAACACAGGCGGGTCATGCTCCAATGTGACGAAATAGGATCTAATCACAGACGGATCATAAGCCATGTGGCGGTGTTAGTGCATACCCACACACGCGGGCCATGTTCCAATGCGACAGAAGTAAGGACCTTATCACGGACGGATGATAAGCCAATACGGTGGTGTAGTATACACCCCAGTCGATCTCATATATCGATGATGATGGCTATGAGTATCACTGCCGATAGCTTACTGCCGAGGCTGAAATTGGACTGCGATGTGAGTTATGACGCGGCTGTGAAAGGTAGTAGTGTGCGCCCCAACGCCATACCGTTGTGGGTCCATCTAATTCGATGTCGCCTACCCGCTATCGGTGAATGGCGTGGACCGGCCGGACTACTGCTCGTTCTCGGGGTACCGCCTCTCTACACGAGCACGAATGACAGCAGCAAGCTGGCGATCACCATGAACGCCCCCACTGGCGCCTGGACGTTCCAGGTGACCGGTGTCGACTACGGCAACCGCCTCCTCAGCCTTGTTGACCAGGGCCTAGCCCAGCAGACGTGCCTACAGCCGTACCGGAACACCACATCGACGATGCTAGGTTCGACTATACCGACGGTGACCAGTTCCTGACGGTGTACGTCAACTGCAGCACCGTGTCATCGTCACTGCCGTTGGTGGTCAATGTCCTCTCGTGCCAGTCTAGGGCCGGTCGTACTATAGCCTAGACAACGGGACGGTGGTGCCGGACATGCTGGGGTCATGTAGCTCCACGCTGGTTGTGCCTGACCTGGTTTATATGGGGAGGTCGGATGCTACAGAAAGGGGAGGGGAGAAATGAGACTGAAAATAGAACCGAAAACCGAATAGAGTCTTCCAGATCACTCCGGGCTCTGCATCGAGAGTAGGGCCCCTTTGTCTTTCTTCTCCATCGTCGAGAAAGCAACCTCACCGCCGACGAGCCATAGGATAGCACCGAGTGATCCCCTTCCAAATCTCTTACACACTTTTGTTGTAACCCCCGATTTGAATGCTCTCGAATGCAAAGAACTACTATGGCTGGACGTAGGGCCATGATATCTCGAACCAGGATACATCGCCGTGTCTTCTCTGTGTTCTTGAGTCCACCCGAGCCATCGGAGACCCACACTCAGTGACACCCGACGAACAACAATGCTTGCCGCGGTTTTGACCCCGCGACACTAACTAAGCTTGAACATAGCTCAAACTAAGCCCAGGAACATGCTTTGTCAACATATCAACGGGATAGCCATGAGTGCTTATCTTGCATACCTTAACATCACCTTCAATAATCACACCTCGAATAAAATGGTATCTCACATCAGTATGCTTTGTTTTTTCATGAAATATCTAATCTTTAGTGAGACAAATAGCGCTCCAAATATCAATCTTCACTTAGTCAATGGCTAAAAGTTTAAATGTAGTCTTTTTATTTTTCTTTGTTTCTTTCTTTGTTTTCTCGTTGTACTCGTGCCAGTAGAGGACAACACCTTCTATTTCATAAACAAAATAATTCTATGACTATCGCAATATATAGCAATGCAAGAAGTAATCCCGCAAAGTTGAAAGTACAAATCTCTCAAACCAACAGTCACTTTACAAACTTCTGAAATAGCAATATATTCAATTTCTGTAGTAGACAGAGTAATAGTAGTATGCAAACTTGATTTTTAGCTAACAACATAACAATCAATGGTAAAACATAACCTGTGTGAGAGAGACCTCCTCTTATGTAAATCACCATGAATTGGTTTTTGCATCATGCACATTAAAAAATTAAAAAAAACATTTTTAACATAACCTCTCTGATTGAGGTGTAATTTTTAGATTTCCTATCTCTAACAAATTTTATACCAAAAATCTTCTTAGCTGCACCTAAGTCCTTTATATCAAATTCTTTTTTCAATTTTGCCTTCAATTTAGCTATTTCTAATTTATACTTTGCAGCAATCAACATATCATCAACATAAATAAGCAAATAAATAGTTAACCCATTAACGATCTTCAAGTAAACACAACTATCATAATCAGACCACTTACAACATGAGAGCATAAATGAGTCAAATCTCCCGTACAGTTGCCTAGGAGATTGCTTCAAACCATAAAGATATTTCTTTAATCTATATACAATGTTTTTTCTCAGGAACAACAAAACCTTCGGATTGATCCATGTAAATGTCTTCTTCCAACTCCCCGTGTAAAAATGCAATTTTAACATCTAGTTGCTAAAGCGAAAATATAATCATCATACATGGCCACAATACTAAGTAATCAATACCTAAAATCTGGCTATAACCTTTATCAACCAACCTTGCTTTATACTTTGCTGGCTCACTTGGATAAATACATTGCTTTATTTTGAAAATCCATTTGCAACGGACAAACATTTTATCCTAGGAAAATTTCACTAAATCCCAAGTACCATTCTTTTCAAGTGACTCCATCTCATCTTGCATAGCTGTCGTTCTATTATTGGAATCAACAGAAATAATAGCCTTTGAATAATTAGAAGGTTCTAAATTACCTTTGTGATAGATCTGTAGGATCGTCTAGGCATAGATTGGCGGGTTTAACTTCACTCAAATGGGATAACTAAATAGATCATCTTAGACGGAGTACTAGAGAGGGGTATAGGTATAGAACGTCGGTGGGCTTGGCGGAAGAGCTCGCCATGGCGACGGTGTCGATGGCGCGAGGTGTCGGTAAAGGGGCGGGAGCGACGGTCGTAGGAGAGGCGCGGACATCTGCGGCGCGACTCTCGTGGCGGCGGTGGCCCTGCGACGTGGTGGCGGAGCTTCCTGTCACTTCAGCACTGCCCTCTAAGATCGGATTAGGGTTAGGACTGTAGGTGGAGTTTGTGACGGCTCCGGCCCCCATATTTCTCTTTATAGCGCTGCGCGACGAGGGCCCACCAACCATGATTGGGTTGGGCGCCCCCGATCAGGGCGCGGATCAAAGGCCCAAATTGACCGTTGGGCCAGCTTGGTGGAGATCAAGCTAACACTTTGATCTCTTTTGTAACACTCAAAGCGTAAGCAATATTGCATCACTCAATTATCATTTTAATTGATTTGAGCTATCTTCTGGCCCTATCAGCAGGAAGAGAACGGTTGTGGATGCTGCATAGATGAAAAAAGAATACTTATAACTATAGATAAATCAATAACAAATAACAGTCGAAGACTATCTTCTCCGGTTGTGTAGCCCCCACAATGGGGATCGAGGAAGCGCCCTGCGTGAAAGAAGAGGTTAGGCACTGTGGGATTTTTTACTTAAGATTTATTTGGTCATTTCTTTTTTCTCTCGAATACGTAAAAGATTTGCGTATCATTTTATTAAGAAGAAGAGTTTAAAGAAACATACAACGTGCTTCTATCGAGCGCCATAGGAGGTCGACCAAAGACAGCCGAAGTTGGACCATCCTAGCAAAAGACCTCATGTTTCGATATTACATAAAAGGAAACAACCAATATCGATGTAGCTTTGTGTCCTAGGAGGTGGCCTTGCGTCTTTAGCGGCTGCCTGGACAGTGCCTTTCCAACGGTCGGGAAGAGCTCGTCCAGCACCTCGGCTTCGGACGCAGTCAGGTTGTCGTCAAAGAGCCTATCAAAGGCCTCCAACTCCGAAGAGGATGGCGCAGATGGACCCCTGGTGTAGCCCATACACTGCATGATCAACACATCACCTCGCTTGGAAGCTGGCACTCGGGAGAGGCTCTGAGCCGCCAACCGCTTGCTCCGCCACGGCAGTACCGGCTTAGCTGGAAGCTGCTTGGGAGGCTCACGAATCAGCGGACAGTCCCTCTTACACGTGACATTATTGATGAAGCCGTCGAGGTGTCGTTTAGCGAAGTCGTCGTTGTCCACAGCCTAGTGGGTAACCCCCAGTGGTGAACAAGAAGGGCCATCCACCGTGAAGTCTACCGCTTGTGTCTTCAGCGAGTCCACTGCCCACTGAATGGGATGTGGGGGTGGTGTCCACAGCACACAGGAGGCTACCGCATCCTCCAGCTGGGGACCGCCACCGCCGGTGCCTCATCCAGAAGTTGGGGGTTGCTAAAGTTAACGGGAGGCGCTTAAGGGGAGGCCACGCGACGATCTGACTACCGACGAGCATATCTAATTTGGTCATTTCACATTGCACGTGCCCTTACCCTCTCTAATTTTCTATACCCATTCCATTTTGATGCCCCTATAGATGAATTCCTCGTGGCCATGGGTCCGTTGATATCTCAGTTCCTGCCTCGCTATCCCCAGCCCCGCCATGCCAGTGCTCTACCTCGTCGTCGTAGTCGCCGCCGTTTCCCTCTCCCTTGTCGTGCCCGCGGTCGCCGATGAGGCGTACTACAACTACATTCCCAGCGCGTGCCAGAAGTCCTCCTTCCACTGCGGCGACAGTGTCGACGTGCGCTACCTGTTCTTCCTCGCCAACGCCACCTCCGTCATCAAAGGGGACACCGCCTACGCAGAGTCCTACTGCGGGTACCCCGGCATGGCGATCGCCTGCGAGGGCGGCCGCGCGACCCTGAAGCTCAAGGGCGACAGCTATGCTGGACATCGACTACAGCAACCACACCGTGACGGTCACTGAGGCGGACGCGCTGAGTGGCGGGGAGTGCCCGCGGGTGACCCACAACGTCACCGTGCCGCCGGTGACGTGGGTCAACCTGTCGGACACCGCCAACGACAACCTCATCTTCTTCTTCGACTGCGTCTTCACAGCAGCGACCCCTAGGCCACCGTCGGCCCTCCTCCCGATCAACTGCAGCAGCCTTCCCGAATGGGATAGGGTGTCTTATGTTGTGGATCAGCCCGACTTGTCGGCACAGGACGAGTGGCCGCTGGCGTGCAAGGAGCCGGTCGTCGTGCCTACCTCCACAGCCTTATTGCGGCCTTAGACTGTCTCCAACGGCGTAGGCAAAGTGTGACCCAAACGCAAAATGCGTTACGCACAGTGTTTTGCGTCTTAGAATCACGCTCCAACGGAGCATGCAACCGAAGCAGCCATTTTGGGTAACTGGCGAATCGATAGGCAAAAAAGCGTCGTCTCTCGCGACGACGCAAAAGCATTGCAAAGAGGCGTGAGCTCCATGGCGTCGGCGGGGAAGCATAGCAGTGGTGGGTGGAGGAGAAGCATAGCACGGCGGCGGCGGTGAGGAGCTTGGCTTTGGCCGCGCTCAGCTCCGACAAAGGGTGGCGGTGGGTGGACGCAGCAGTGGGGGCGGGTGGAAGAAGCAGAGCACGACGGCCACCACCACCACCACCACCACCACCAGCCACCAGCCACCACCACCACGACGCACCATCGGTCGCCACCGGCGGATCCGGGAGAGGGAGAGCCGGATCCGGGAGAGGGAGAGCCAGGAGAGGGAGGGCCGGATCCGGCCGCCACCGAAAGGGCCGGGGAAGAAGGGGAGGGAGGGCCGGATCCGACCGGGGAAGAAGAAGAGGAGGGAGGGCCAGATCCGGCCGGGGTGCTCCTCGGCGTGGCCCCGGCGTAGGGCTCCTCGGCTCGGGGCCACGGACGGCGCGGCGGGCGGCCATGGCGGCTTCTCCAAGCGCGGCTAGGGCGTGCGGGCGCCCGCTCGCCGGAGCTCTAGGGCGCGGCCTCGCCGGAGCAGCCATGGCAGAAATATCTCGACAGAAATATCTGGGGCCAGGAGGGAGGGCCAGATCCGGCCGGGGAAGAAGAAGGGGAGGGAGCGCCGGGGAAGAAGAAGTGGAGGGGAGGAGCGCCAACGGCAGGGAGAGCCGGGGTGCTCGGGGCGCTGGGGAGGGGTGCTCGAGAGTGGAGGGGCCGGCGCGGACGCGGTGAGGCTGGGGCCGGAGCTCGCCCGCACGGTGGTGGCCGGGGCCGGAGCACGCACGGATCTGGGACCACTCCCCCCCGGTGATGAGCAGCGTCGCGGCCGGGGAAGAGAAGGTCGTCAGGGTCCGGCTCCACCCAGCTCGCGTTGTCCTCCCTGCCTCCACCAAGCCGAGGGAGAGGGATAGAGAGAAAGGAGAGGCGGGAGGGGAGGGGGCGCGGACGGGAGCCACGGCGTGGGCGGTGCGGGCGGAGGAGATGGAGGAGGGGATGAGATATTTTGGACAGGCGCGGTGGGCTGTTGGAGAGGCAACGTTTTGGGTCCGTCACCTATTTACTGTGCCGAACCTAATTTCTGGAATGCATCGCTGATATGGGTATGGACCGTTGAAGATAGTCTTACCCCTTGTATAGTACTCCGTACCTACCTCCACAGCCCCATCAATACCTTTATTGATGCCTTTCATGTATATAATAAAAAAAGAGAAACCTTTATATATTCAGCCTGTTCGTTTGTTGGTTTCAGTCAGGGCTTATCAGTCAGTCAACAGTGTTTTTCTATCACAATAAACTAGCATCAGCCGAACTTATCAGCCTAGAAACCAATCAGCGAACAGGCTCATTAATTATGGAGAACAAAAGATGCCACCTACACCTAGCAGACTCGACTAAAAAAATACCGGAACGTGAGAGAGTTGGTCTAACACGCGTCATTGGAGTTGGAGCTCTCTTTCGTCTCTCTTTCCATATTCCATACAAAAACCCTTTTTTTTTTGTAACTTCTGCTCCGCTCTAATATATTGTTCAGGCACCAGTCTATTGAAAACTTGACATAGGGCCTATTTAGATTAGATAGCACTGGCCATGACTAAAAATTAGTCTGCTAGTCATTATTTCAATGCCTCTTTGGATTTCTAGCTAATACTTCCATACATATCGGCTAAAGGATCAGAGTGTCCCTTCAATTTTTCTCTCTCCTATTTACCAACTAGGAACAGGGTATGTGGGAGGGCAACAACAACTTTTTGTCAAACTTTAGCACTTTTAATCCCTTTCGCTCTAATTTATCAATTAGTTGGCTAACAACTAGTCCTTGGTTTGGCTAACAATTATTTCATCTACTAGCCCACTTTAGATCCTTAGAGAATATATGGGCTAAACATTAGTCAACTAATTGTTACTCCCATGATATGGATCCAAATAGAGCCATAGTTTCCTTCACTTTTTTAAAAAAAAATAACTTACCTAGTTTTTTACAACATTTTGACAGTAATTTAACAAGGTCTATTTTCACGTTTGCAGGATCTCCATGCTCAAAGTGGAAAATCACAGCATGTAAGAGAAACTCCCTGTTAGTGGTACTCTTTGACAATTCCCCACATTATGTCTTGCTAGTCCAGCAACTCGTGTCACGCACGGGCCATGAATTTTATAAGAGATATATGCATCAGAAATTGATTAAATTTAGAACACAAGACTAATGAAAATTATTTGTCTTTGTTTTCTCTCATTTGCTCATATTTTAATATAATGCTCGTCTAGATAAATTCTTATATTCGTCTGGTCGTGATAAACTAATTTATTATCAATCTGTCAATATACTTTTTTCATCCCAATTCATACCTGTCCCATCAATCTGTCAATATACTTTTTTCATCCCAATTCATACCTGTCCTCGTCGCATCTCACTTTCGTGTGTGTTAGACATGTGTTTAGTTGAAACGATCTCTCGTATGTTCATATTCTAACACAATACCAAATGATAATATCTCTCTTTGTGTTACCTTGCTGTGTGATAGTCTTAATTTAGTTGCAGTTACTTTTACATACTATTCATTCACATCATATTTTTCTCATTTGTGTTGCATTTCGTGTGTCTTTGACGTGTGTTCATAATTGATACTCACTCACGTGTTCCTATTTCAACATAATACTCATGTAGATGCCTTCTAATCTTTCTTCCTTGTGATAGAATTCAATTACCAATTATTTTGTATGTTTTGACATACTCACTCATATTTTCCCCCTTTGCATCGTACTTTCATGTTCAACATGTGTTTAGTTGAAACCTTAGCTTCAACTACGTATTTGCCTTATAAAGTGACATGCTCATTGATTTGTGGTATATATATGGATATTGTTTGCATGGTGAGTTAGTGGCACATGTGCGCACTACCTTGAGTTAGAATTTTCTATACTCACAATGACAAGTGAGTGATTTAGAAGCATATACAGAAATAATATACAATACTTTTTAATGATGGATGGAATAATTTAGATATAAATTTAGGGGTTACTTTTGTGCCTTTAGTTATTTTTTATATTAACAACCAAATAATTGAGTAATATAGAAGTATATATAAAGTACTTTTTTTTGAAATGATAGGTATAAACAATTTAGACTTAGGGGGTAACTTTAGGTTATTCTAGTGGAGGTCGTAATTTAGATGTAAATTTAGGGGGATAATTTAGATGAGGATCAGAAGGATACTTTCGCGGTAATCTAAATTAAGAATTAGGAGTTCCTTTAGACTACTTTTATAATGGGAGATGGATAAATTTTTAGAAAGAAAAAAAAACAGATCCAATGGCTATTATTATTAGTGATAATTATAACATACCAAAAAGATGGGTGAATGTTTCTGATTTTTAAGATAATTTCTTGGATTCATCTTTTTTCTTGCACTGTTTGTGATTATTAATTTGGATACTCCTTGTGGCACCGAATTTGTAAGACTAAGATGGCTAAAATTCCTATGATAATTTTGAATGCAACTACACTAGTTCTTGTTATGTTGTAACTTTAGTTTGCTTTCATTTGGTTCAACCTCAATTCTTTTTTGCCCCACGCAGACTGGTTAAAAAAAAAGTAATATACATTACTAGACTATATTGTTTCATAAGTCTGCAGCAAGTTGCTTTATGATTTTATCTTTTAGTTCTTCTGTGTACTTTGTATGGCGATCCTTTTCCAGTTTTAGCGTTACTTGTTTATACTAATGGGATTTTAAGATCAATTTATGCCACATAGTTATAACTTTTGTGTTATTTATGGCCCTTGCAGATATAGGCCCTGTTTGGTTGGGCTTTTGGCTTTGGCTTTTGGCCCCAAAAGCCAAAAGCCCAACCAAAGGGGCTGCTTTTGGAGGGTGCTTTTTCAGAAGCAGCTGCTTTTCCGTAGTTCATTTTTGAAAGCTGGGTTGATCCTGCTTTTGGCTTTTGGCTTTCTGCTTTTCGAAATTGGTGGAATAAAAAGCTCTTCCATAGTTGTTTCAAGAGAGATAAAGATAAAAGGTATATTTTATACTTGTTTAACCAAACAGCTTTCAGCTTTTCTACAGCTCACAGCCCACAGCAGCTTTTCCACAGCTCACAGCCCACAGCAGCTTTTTCCCACAGCCACAGCTCAACCAAACAGGGCCATAGGGTCAGCTGTGTTAAGTGCAATTCTACTATCTCTGCTCTTTGTAATGTGTGTTCTGAAGAAATTTTACGGTACGATCTCCTGCACAAGGGGATCTAATAAACACGCACCAGGGATTGAATCATTCTTACAAAAGCATGAAGCTCAGCACACAAAGAGATATACTTATTCAGAAGTGAAAAGAATGACCAAATCGTTTGCCGAAAAGCTAGGTAAAGGTGGCTTTGGAACCATTTACAAGGGCAACCTGCCAAGTGGTCGTCTCATAGCAGTGAAGCTTCTCAACAATTCCAATGATGATGGCCAAGAGTTTATCAATGAGGTAGCAAGTATCATGAGAACTTCTCATGTTAATGTTGTGACTTTGTTGGGTTACTGTCTCGAAAGTTAAAAAAAAGCTCTTGTCTACGAGTACATGCCTAATGGTTCGCTCGAAAGATTTGCTTCCGGACAGAACTCTGAAGGGAAAAACTCATTAAGTTGGGAAAAGTTGTTTGATATCACAGTCTGCTCGTGGACTTGAATATCTTCATCGAGGGTGCAGTACTCGTATTGTGCATTTTGATATTAAACCACACAATATTCTACTAGACCAAGATTTCTGTCAAAAAATCTCTGACTTCGGATTGGCAAAATTGTGCGTGAAAAAAGAGAGCATCATCTCTATCGACGGTGCCAGGGGAACAATAGGCCACATCGCACCAGAGGTCTTTTCGAAGCAATTTGGAGAGGTCAGGAGCAAGTCTGATGTATATAGTTTTGGAATGGTGATCCTTGAGATGGTTGGAGCAAGGAAGAATATCAACAAGAGTTCAGAGGCCAGTACCAAATATTTTCCTCAATGGGTTTATGAACATTTGGAGGAATATCGTGTGAATGCCGGTGAGATCAGTGTTGATTCAGAGTTTGCCAGAAAGTTGATAGTAGTGGGATTGTGGTGCATACAGTTGCAGCCTAACAACCGGCCATCAATGACTAGAGTAGTAGAAATGTTAGAAAGCCAGACAAATGACCTGCAGATTCCACCACAAAGTCTCTTGTGTTGAAAACTTCAGATTTAGTCTATCAGTATTTTGTACCAAGCAACTAAAACTTCACCAACTACTGAGTTGACTGTAGTGTTAATCACTTTAAATCGAACAGAGTGATGGTACATGTATAAGTGTGGCTCCTGATTGAGAATCAGAGGTCTGTAACTGTAATCCACTTGCTTATGTAGGATAATGTTCTGTTAAAAATCCTCTCTAGTCTCAAATTCCTATGGTCACAAATGCTACAACAGTTCAGGCCGGCGTCCTATATCCGTAGTTCCCCTAAATAAGAATAGGAGATGTGTTCCTTTTTTTCTTCTTTATTAGAGCAGTTCTGTCATGTGCATTTTGTGGGGGGTGAGTCTTTGAACCCAGTCACTCTGGTGAAGCACCACGTTTTGTGGTTGCTAGTTTCGCACTCGCGGCAGTGCGGCACGTTGCTTTCATGCTTTATTTGTCTAGTGTTGTCGGAATCACAGCTTTCGGACAGAGACTGCATGAGAACACTGAACCTGAATGCATGGCTAGTGGTTTCAGTCGAAAGATTTGGTTTTGGGAGACATTTCTGACATCACAATTGGCATTTGAGATGTTGGTGTACTAAGTATTAGTTTGTCCAAAGTCAACTCAGAAGTGGCAACACTTTTATTCGTTTTGTAACATCATACATAGTATACGTGACACATATAAAATACATGACATATCAAAGTCTGCAGAGCAGAACTCACACTGTACCAAGGACTGAAGTAGTACGTCTCCGTTTATTCTCAAGCAATACTAAACTCTGCCAAGTAGTATACAGAAGTACCATACACGAGAGTGCGTGCCCGCGAGGTCGACGTCGACAAGGAGCGGACTGGGCACTGGGGCATGCACGCACTTCATTCAGCACTTGGGCAGGGGCACCTTGCAGGCGGCGAAGACCTTCTTGGCGTTGGGGGAGTTGACGTAGCGCTGCATGTTGGGGTTCTTCTTGTACTGGCAGAAGCAGCTCGCCGGGTGCGCCTTGAGCCTCGCGCAGCACGCCGCGGTGGGCGCCGCGTTCCCCACGATCGCCGGCGCGCACGGGGTCAGCTGCGTCGGTGCGCACGTCGCCGCGCTCGCGCCGGGGGCCAGCAGGCTCAGCACCGCGCTCGCCACCAGCAGGAACAGCACCAGAGACGCCCTGCTCGCTGCGGCCATGCTTGCTTGGACTTGGACACCCTGCAGGTGCGAGCGATCGAGAAGCACGTACGTTTTGATGTGTTGTGTGTCAATGTGTTGCGAATGGAGAGTGATCCATGGCGCCTATTTATAGGCCCTGAAGTAGGTGATGAGGAGCACGTATCGTAAGCGTTGCGCAACCGACCAAGTTTGGTACGTGAGCAACGGGAACAGTGCATGCATTGGGCGGCTGATACACAGCACAGCACAGCTCCAGCGGCGCTCCACTACCGCTCGATCGATCGAGCTCACTGTTGCGCGTCCATGTGCAGGGACTCTAGCTACCAAGATTTCAACGCGTGGAGCATCAGGGGTGACGTGCTACAGCCTTTTTCAGTTTTTTCAGTATGAACAAGACGATCCTTTTTTTCTAGAAAGAGCGTAGTGGGTTGGGTTAGTATATAGAATGAAGGGATCGGACTAGGGAGGCATCATGATGATGAGCGTGCTGAACTGAACTGATGAAAGGATGGCAAAAGCTGATCAGCATTCAGCAAAGTCTCTCAGCGGCGTCCACTGCAGAGTTACACGTAGTAGAAGGTCTGGGGCATGCGCACCCGAAGCTCAGGGTCAGAGCCATCTTTTTTGGACGGCAAGCAAGAGGCCCAGCTGGCATGCATGCCTCTTCCTCTTTGTAGATGTCCAAGCGTCGGATCGTCAGAACAGAGTGCCTGACGTGATCATGGGTCAGCATTTCGACATCGCCTGTAGTCGTGCAAGTACTTCATCCAAATTAATCGGTTATATGTCTAGTTAAGATTTCAATTAATTCGGAAAATTCCTACCACATTTCTAATATCACATAGATCATTTTCTCTTTTACACGCAGTGATGAGGGAGTGTTGTTAATCATTATTGGCCACGAACAGGTTCACTTTCACCTAATTTGTGAAGCTTTATATTGGCAAAAAAAAAAAAAAGAGTTAACCGATTAACCCCAACTTCAAGACATATGTGCACCTCCTCGGTCATAAGTGCTCAACCATCTATGATTTTTTTCACAAGTGCCTTCTTGGATACATTTTTTAAAAGCATATAAAGCTCATTTGTCAACCTCCAGTTTGCACGATATTCCGATTTTTAAGGATAAACTATAAAAGCGGTGCTAAATGACCCACAATAGACAAATTTATTCCCCTAACTGGTTTCAAAAGTGCTTTTTTATTTTCTAAAAAAACAAAAATATGGTTTAATCTCTAAAATTCATAACTAATTTATTTTAATTAGAAAAATATGAAACTAGTACAAATTGTTTTCTAAAAATGTTACCTATCTAGTCTTGGTGATCTATGTACAATTATTTGGAACTTGTTTATTTATGTTTCTATTATTTTATTGTCAACTATTTATTTAAACTATAATTTTGCTCTATATCGGACCTTGAGCCCGATCAAGAGGACCCGGAAAACTATGAATACATACATAAAAGGATGTGGAAGATGACACGAAATCTCATATATTCCATGCTCTACCACATGTATAGATTCTGTTTAGGCATTGTATGACTATCACTTTACTATATGTTGATTACTTGATTAGGTTATAGGTTTCAAAGAAGTCAGTGACTTAAACATCATGCAAACAACTAGTCACATTATTAATATAACGTGGAGCACAAAATGATAATTTAAATAAATAACAGATATGGGTATAAGTAATTTAACACTAGGAAAATAAACAATAAGATTCCAATAACTCCAAATAGAACACCAATAGATATATAACATTCTTAGAAAAAATGGTATTAGTTTTAATTTTTATTTAAAATAAATTAGTCATGAAATTTATACGTTAAATCATGTTTTTTATTTTTTTAAGTAGAAACTAGCTAGATGACTAAATTTGTCTAATTTTGATAGTTTGAGGATATCTAGTGTCCGGTTTTATGGTTTAAGGTTGAAAACCGTACTGTCATATATGTTGGAGGTTAAAAAATGGACTTACCAAAAAAAATTCATTTGGATTTTACAGAAAGAAATGTGTGTTGTAGTACTCAGTGCATTTTTAGTATTTTGATGGATTGTATTTTTAAATACTTGAACAGATTACTTTTGTAAAAGCTGAATAACAAATATTATTAAAAAAAATCCTTCACTTTTGGCTCATCCTTCTGTAGATTCTTGATGCAGCCAAATCAAGTTTAGTTAACTCATGTATCCACTGGCTTCGTACTTGTGTTATTCTCATTCACCAGATTTGGTCATGACGGCATGACAACCGTTGGAGCATGTGGTTAAAGAATTTTTTTACCCATGCACATAGGTGACGGTCTAGTCTACGGATTGATAGTCACTAGTATGTCTGTATCTGTCAAGAAAACAACTTTTTATAGGCCCTGTGCTTTAATGCAGAGGTCAGAAGTGACCTCAAGATGGTTGTATCAACTTGATGTAATTATCTTGAATTAATAAAATGCTTCCTCAATTAAAAAAACTCATGTATCTTTGTTTTTTTCCTTCAAAAATGTATGTTTAGTTTTTTTCCCTTCAGAATTGTATGAAAAGTACTTGTTTTTGAGTTGGGTGTTGTAAATTATAAACCAATAAAGTTATAAATTGTCCTAAACAAAAGTAAAGAATATGCAAACCTGATCACAAAACTACCCTTGGCTAGTAAGAAATGGGACGGACCTACTAATAATGGCGTTTTTGCCCTTGTTTTGGTTTTATAAAAACTCTTTAACACCGTGGGGAACTCCCCTACGGTTTTTTGCGTCAAAAAAAAATAATGTGTTCGACTGCCGACTGCCGTTACTACAAAAATAGTTTTTGTCAATGACATTTTCACCACCGGTTCTGTTAAAACAATAGACCTACTAACGATGTATTTTTTTAACTCTTTGAAACCGAAGGTGATGAAAATACTGTAGGAGTGGACACCGATGGCATGGGCATGGGTATTTTTTAAAGTTCTGTTCGGTTTTCACAGCCGCTTTTTGAAACCGATGGTGATGAAAATGCTGTAAGAGTGGACACCGATGGCAACCACATCAGGGTCGTCCTCAAGAAAGTGATAGGTTCCCTCATCATGCTCATCTTGTTGGAAGTACAGGATGAAAAGGATTCGAGTGTTTTCAACCCTTACTGTGTGTCTGTGTTGCACCAAAAAACCGGTTTAGGGAGTAGTTTTCCAAACCCTTTAAAATGCTCTGATCTCTTCTAGGATATTGCTATTTGCTATTAATGTAGCAGAACTTAGCATTGACCGAGAAAATCGCCGAACCATGGCTTTGCTAGTGAGGGGATTTTTGTAAGTTGTCTAAATTCGCTCTAAAAAAGAATCGAACTAGGACCTAAAAGTGCTACTAAGCTACAAGCTCCTTCACTTCTTAATATGCTTAGAATGTCCTCGAGTAATAGTATGCTCGATCAGTAATAATATGTCCATTTGATAGAGGAAATTCTGCACACTAGTCATTTGCACATTGTTTGGGAGATTTTCAGCGCTACTTTTGTTACTACTACCCTTGCTACTAGTCACCAATAGTAAAAAACAGTCAGACTGTTCGTTTGTTGGTTTCAGCCAGGGCTTATCAGTCATGGTACAGTATTTTTCTCTCACAACAAACTAGCACTAGCTAGGCTTATCAGTCCCGGAAACCAACCAGCGAATAGGCTGAGTATATATAGCGGACACATACTTCATTATTACATCATTTATTCATAATAGACACGTATCTCTGTCCCAAGAGCTCGGTAGACACAGGCAGCGGATCGAGTACAGCAACACCACAACGACGGAATTATACGCATACACGGCACGATCCAAGTACGTACGTACGGAAACAGAGCACGACGCCACGCTAGCTCTGTCCCTGTCCAGTGGGCCATGCTACGTACCGACACAGGTACGTCACGTACGCGGTGCTAACAGAAGTTAGCACGACGGCACGGGCACCTTGCAGGCGGCCAAGGCATTCTTGCCGTTGGGCGAGTTGACGTAGCGCCGCAGGTTGGGGTCGCGCGCGTACGTGCACAGGCACGGCTGCTGCTCCTTGAGCCTGCTGCAGCACGCCGCGGTGGGCGGCGAGTTGCCGATGATGGCGCCCGCGCACGGGGTCAGCTGCGTGGCGTCGCACGCCGTCGCCGCGTCGGCTCCCCGCGGCGCGGCGGCGGCGCACAGCAGCAGGACGATCACCGCCCAGGCGGCGAGGCCCGCCAACAGCACCTGCGAAAGCTTCGCCATGGCTGCTAGCTAGCTGCTTCGAGAGATCGAGCTCGACGACGATCAGTAGCTAGCTCACTACTAGTTCGTGGATGGTGGTGTGGTGCGAGCGATCGGAGAGACACCGGCGCCATTTATAGGCACGTCGTCGAGGTGGAAGCTGCAATGGCAATGCATGGCGGCAGACAGTCGCATTGCTAGTGCAGGACAAGTGTGCAACGCAGATTGACTTGTGACTTTGTGAGGATCACAAGTGCAGGAGTATGCGCCACTAGGGAGGGAGGACAGGACAGGATGATGTGCATGAGCATGATTGTTGCCGCTGCACTACTCGAACAGAAAGAGAGAGAGGAGAGAAATTCTTGGTTGGTGCAGGAAACATGGCGCCGAGAGCAACTCAACTGAGCGCATAACAAAACGGCACGCACTACGGGTGTGTCGGACCATGGCCAAAAGTAGGGTTTGGTGGATCGGCCAAGATAAGGTTTGTTATACTGAATTGCGCTGCTCATTCTGCTGATTAGATCAGATAGACAGTTGAGTTGGTTAAAGTATGAACAAAAGATGTTTTACTTTGGCAGTTAATTTAGTTGCTTTGCAAAGCAAAGAGAACACCATAAAACATCTGGTAAAAGTGAAAGATAAAAAGTGGTCGAGTGTTCAGGGCAGGGCAAAGCTTGCACTGGCACTGCACAACTAGCTGAAAATATATCTCCAGACCATTTCGGGTAGATGCAGGAGAGATTTTATTTCTTCCTATTTAGTTGATTAATAAAATTGCCACTTAAACTCCCCTCACCCAACATTGTGCTATGCTGCTGCTGCTGCTGCTGCTTTCTGCAAATATTGTCCAATCGTGCACCAACCTAGCCATTTCGTGATTTCCAACTAAACTGCGTTTTTTACTACATTTACACAAGCGAAAATAAACTGGTTCCACTTGTACTGTACAGCAACAATCGCCTGTATCGAAAGTGTCTGGTGTATACTATACTAGGTGAAATTATACTATATTATCTTGGTACTGTTCCCTACTGTGATGGGTACTGTTCATAACGGATCCGGTACTGTTCATAGAGGGCAGTCATCTACAAAATGGGTCAAGCTGAACAGTGCCCATGCATTGCCCATTTTCTCTTGTTGGGTAGTATATTAAAACAAATGCTAATGCCCGTTCCATTAGGCCAACCTTTCTGTAGTGGCAACGGCACTTGCCTCTCAGCTATCTCGCATCACAGTGACAGGTCTTCAGGTTCACGAAGCATCTGGTCCTAGACGTCAGAACACAGATGAACCTTATATATACAATCTGAAAACTAAACCAAACAAAGTTCATTCAGCAATCAGGTTAAAAAACATCTTGCCTTTTACCATAAGGCTAATCCATGAAAAGGACTTCTTCTCCAATTAAACCAGTTGTAAAAAGGTAAAGATGCTGCATTTGTTTAAATCCACAACAATAAACAAGTCCCATATGCAAGATACTTGCAGTGAATCTTTTTTGCGACGACTTTATGTCGCTTCAAGGCTGTAAGAAGGAATCCCTGAGCTGTTGGAACACCTCCTGCTGAAGCAATCCTTGCTCCATATTCGTTCATTCCCCTGTTCCCTCCAGCACAAAGCTATCCTTGCCTTCTCGTGCCAAGATCCTATGTATTCCTGTCCTAGTACCTGGCAGCTTATAAGGCCAAGAGCTGTCATCGTGACCAGACGAATTACTACCAAACGCAGCAGGTATTTCTCAGATGTCTCAAGCCAAGCTTCCTCATGTTCAGACCGATTCTTCCGACGACGACGATGGACCGACGACAAAGCTAGTATTTCAGAGGAGCAAATCAGTTGATAAGCTACTCGGTGGCCAGAAAGGTGCAATGCTCTAGTAGCAGTAGTATTTTTCTGAAAACTCTCGTGTCTCAGCAGCGTTTCAGGCGCTGCTGGTGCCTGAGCCTGACTGAATCGGCTCTATGATCTCTGAAGTCTTTTGGATTTGCAGTTTCTGACGTCCTGCTATGGAGGAACAGAAACTTGTCAGCAGGCATCCTCGCAGGGGCAACATTGGTCTGGTTCCTGTTCGACGTGGTGGAGTACAACATAGTAACGCTCCTTTGCCACATTGCGCTGCTTGGGATGCTTCTGCTCTTCATTTGGTCGAAAGCTGCGCCTCTCTTTGACAGGTCTGCATTACCATGGCGTCTAAGTTTCTATAGCTACATCTCACTGGATAAATAAAGGGATGATAAGTTAAAAAGTCTCAATTAACCTCGCGTTTTTGCAGGCCGCCTCCACAGATCCCAGAGGTGATCGTTTCTGAACAAGCGTTCAGAGAAGTTGCACAGACCATCCACTACAAACTGGCTCACTTTGTGTCAATCCTGTATGACGTTGCATGCGGGAAGGATCTCAAGAAGTTCCTCATGGTAAGTATGATTTGCTTCTTCGATCTGTGTCCAGTAGTATGTATCACCAAGTCCTATGACAGTCACATTGTTGCCACGCATAGATTTAGAGTTTTGCTGACTTGCAGTTCTGAAAACTCAACAGAGAAATATAAACTGATGTCACAAGTTGTTCAGTGGCATAAAGCAATCTCAACCTTCGATCTGATTAGAGAAAATTCGTTAAGCATATGAAGTTTACAAAATAGCCTATGTGCCATTTATTTCTGTCAACATCCAGCTCTGTGAACTCACTCAAATATTGCTTTTGTTTCTTTATTACTGTGATATAAGGTGATTGGGTCTCTGTGGATACTGGCAATACTTGGCGATACTTGCAGCTTCACCACACTGTTATATGTTGGTAAGTATCTAAAGAGGATGCACAAAGAGACGCATCAGCAAAGGGCCAAAGGCTTAACAGCATGCAAAAAAGAACAGCTTGTCCATATGTACTCATATATATTCTGACGATTTATCATGACTTTCTTGACTAGGATTTTTGTGTGCTCTGACTTTACCGGCATTATATGAAAGATACGAAACAGAAGTGGACCATCTTGTGGCCAAGGGCCATGAAGACCTCAAGAAATTCTACAAGAAGGTTGACTCCAATGTGCTCAACAAGATACCGAGAGGCCCTGTCAAGACAAAAGTTCTCTAAGATATAGTACTTTGTCAAATTGCTGGTGCATGCGAGCAGTCCCATAGATAAAAATAGTAGCCAATCACCGGATCACTTCAAATCAATTTTTATGCTACCAGATTGTACATGTTAGACTACTATTGCAATGATCCACCATATTTTACCGTGTCAACAACAAACAAGTCTAAAATCTGAAGTACTTTTAGTCGTAAAATAAACTATTGTTGCCAAAACCAAAGTGGTGGAGATCACGAGGTGTGGGACCAATCTTTGAGTCAACAAATAGTATGTTGCTACCTTTGTTTCTTTGATGTTCTGAAAAGAAATTAAACATAGGTGTAATCAGCTGCTGCCTCCCTCCGTGCACTAGTGAAGATGAGCCTTGCGGCCTTGCCTAGGTTGAAAGGTTTTCTGGTTCTGGCAGTGAAATTTGAGTGGGCAGCCTCCACACATTTGCAAACGCACAAAACAGATCAGGAGAGGTGGTGCTGCCCTCTCATTCTGTTTTTCAATTACTTGATGGATATAAATCATGTTGTGAAAATAAAAACAGATCAGGAGAGGTGGTGCATGGTTGATAACCAACGGGATTGTGGTGTAGCTGTTGTAGGGGTCCGAAACATACTTGGTTTGAAGCCTCGGTATGAACGTCGAGTTCTCCACCAATAGAATCTATCATACCTATTAAAAGATCGGGCCACGTCTCCATCATATTTCTCTTTGTCTCATTTTCTTTAGCAATTTGCTTACCTTTTCTTTATTTGATATATGACATGAGTTTGATATGGTGCAATGAAACCTATCCAAAATCCATCAAAGTCATCAGTCATTTAATTATTTTTTCATTCAACCACCAAAATCCACTAGGAGGCCTAGATGCACTTTCATTGTTTCAACAAAAGGAAAAAATATTCTTTGAAGAGGAAAAAATATCCTCATAGAATAATTTTTTCAAGGTGTGACTGGTGTGCTTCCGCATATGCAATAGGCAACATTCACATGAGGAACTTTCTAGGTAAATGGCAAGAAAATATGAGACGTTGTTGCCATGCTTTAGGCTAAAGTATGGAATATTCTAGATTTAGATATTTTGCATGAGATGCTAATTATTTGGGAGATGGATAAGCATGAGGGAGATTTCTATGAATATAGAAAAGTGTAGGAGGTTGCTATAGAGTATCATCATATAGACTATATAAACACCTATCGATTTAAGTGCCCATCCCATACTTACAAAGCCACAATGAGAGTTAGGACCTATTAATTTAAGTGGCCATTCCATACTTACCAAGCCATGATGAGTTAGTTAGCCACCAAATATTTTACATGACACATAATGAGTTAGTTACCGTAAGACATAGAAGTAGCCAGTACATGAGTATTACCTGCAAACGTGCCAATGCGTTGTAACAGAAACCAATATGTATAGGAATTGGACTCTGTATAATCATTGGACGGGAGTTATTCTAACTTCTAACTTATATGAGCATGTGTCAAGAGTCGAAGTCATATACGAGATACAGAAGGCACAATCCAATAGTATTAGAATCAGACCATGTATCCATCATCATTTGACGGAAGTTATTTTATTTTTAGAAAATATAAATTAGTTACTTAGACATAGTTAAGACTAGAAATCCAGGCGCTGCTTTGCCGCGCCATTCCATTGCATGAGCCTAAAGTCTCAATTTTATTGGTCTAGATCAACCAGTTCAAAGTCTACTTTTTGAAATAACAATAAGGTTTAGTTTAAATATATATATAACGATGCATCAGCACTCCATAGTTTGCCCTGTATTTAATCTCATCTCATATGCTGACCCTATTCACGACGATGGATTCCATAATTGAATGGGAGTCTCAGCATGGAGAGGGTTCTCGAACTCATTAACCACATAAACGGAAAGCTTGTTCTCGAACTCATTAACCACATAAACTGAGAGCTTTTCGATCCTGAGCGGATGAAGTAGTGACATTAACCACATAAACTGAGAGCTTTTCTATCCTGAGCGGATGAAGTAGTGGATTGTCATTTTCATAGCAAAGCTTGTCCAAGAACTCATTCTGGTTAACATCAATCTTCGTGCTTCCGGTGGATTTTGAGCTCCCACTACATTACCTCCGGAGCCACAAGTTGAACAGACTATGTGTTGGGTTCGCAAGCATTCAGAATTGCCTCCGCCTTGCTTTTGGTGCCAACAAAAAAGAGGCCCACTTCTGGGCGTCACTCATGGAGCTTAACCTTATATCTTGAGGGTTTGACGGGCCAAATTTGTTATACACAATCAGGGATCTATTTAGAATGAGGATGCTTACCATAGGATGTTCCAATTGGACTATGGGGTGCAACCACAAGGGACTGATCCTAACTTCAATAAGTTTGATCTTAATTCATCTATGGGACTTCTTAGCGGAAAACACAAAGTCAATGAGTTTGATCTTAGTTCATCTATGAGACTGCACAACGAAAAACACAATGACGGTTGGGTGTGCCCTGGCTCTCAAATATCTTCCTGTTGGGTACAAGCATCTCTCAAATATGTCACTGTTGGGTACAAACTATGAATGCTTCTTCTTTACTTATACAAATCGACATTTGTGAGGTATTATTTTACTTAGATCGATTGGATCTACATCAACAAGATCCCTGATTGTGTACCAATTACACAACAATGGTACGTTTAGTTATCGTCCTTAACATCCCCTACCCGCTAAAGTGCTGATATCCTATGCTCTATATCCATGTCTTGTTGTAGATTCAAAGAAAGAAAAATGTTTCCCTACCTTGTCTCCGTACTTTGTACTCTGATCGTAGGGGCTCAACTCGCGAGGGCACATGACACAATGCCACTATTGAGTTTTGTTGCGATGTTTTCCTAATCTTAGGACATAGCTGTCTAGGTATGTTGTGCTCCACAACCTTGTTTTATGCTTCCTCGTTCCCTTGTGTTTTATGCTTCCTCATTCTCTTTCAAACTCTTATGATTCTGTTTCTAATGTACAACGAGTTGACAATGATACTGGTGATGATGAGGAGCTCCCCTCGTTGGACTCAGTTGCTTATCTGTGCAATTAATGAGAACAATTCACTTTGAGAGAGTTCAGAGGAGGAAGAGGGGACGCCACTTTGCTGCTCTCCATACTTGATGTTGCTTGGAAACTGAAGTCATTGATGGTGCATTCACACCCGACTATGCCACGAACACTGAAAGAAGCAACGATGAGGAGTTCCCCTCGTTGAAATTAGTTGCTTGTCAATGAATTAGAACAGTTCACTCTGAGCGAGTTTAGAGGAGGAAGAGGGGATGTCACTTTGCTGCTCTCCATACTTTATGTTGCTCGGAAACTGAAGACGTTGCTAATGCATTCACACCCGACCATGCCACGAGCACCGAAAGAAGCGACAATGAGGAGTTCCCCTCGCTAGACTCAGGTGCTTGTCTGCACAATGAATTAGAACGGTTCACTTTGAGAGAGTTCCGGGGAGGAAGAGGGGACATCACTTTGCTGCTCTCCATACTTCATGTTGCTCGAAACTAAAGTCGTTGATGGTGCATTTACACCCGTCCATGCCATGGACACTGAAAGAAGCTATATATTGAGTTCTTTCGTTCCTCCCCTCGGCTATCACAAAATTGTGCGATTGTAGTTTTCACACCGCTGGTTGAATAAGTCTACTGTTCATGTACTATACTATACTAGTTGCTCCTGCCACTAAGCTGACATCTACCATTGTGTGTTGAATGGCTAGCTCAGCCTTGTGAGTTTTGGTCCTTAATATTTGTTTCCTTATCTCTATACGTACTGATTTTGTTCCTTATATAGAGCACATGGCATCTATATCATGTCATTTTCATTCGCGCCTCCCTGTTTTCATCCCTAAAGCCCTACAGAAGCCCTACAGTTGTTTGTAAGTGTAGCCACTTAGTTTTCTTTTTTCAATATATACAGCAGTTCGAGTCAAGAAAGATAAAATGAAGACCATTTGATCAAACCGTCTATGCATATTGGACAAAGGTATGAACCATAGTTTAACAATGAAGACAACAACTTAAGAACCAGTTATTCATATTGGCGAAGAAGTGTTGAATAAGCAAAGAACTATAATATTTGCAACATACAAAAACTTAAGTATTACATATAGGAAAAATGTATTTCAAAACATGGAACACAGCATCTCTTATAGTCAAGCAAGAGGTGTGGACACTTTACAACCTTGTCTGTGATTAGAGTAAAATTGAGGGCTTAAATCAGTACAGTTGTTGCATACTGTGGAATATCCAATTTTCAAAATGAACTCATATGCTAAAAGGTTTTGATTCCTGATCAGTCAGGTTTGTCACCATTAAGCCACAAAAATCAAACAACACAACTTTATTAGCCAAATTATGTCGGAACTATGCCCCATAAATCATTTTGCATACTGGACAGCTTATCCAAAAAAATAGTAGGTAGGCAATGAACTACTGATTTAATTAGAGTTTTAAAACAACACTCAGTGTGATTGGTAGGAAGCCTATCAATATGACAGTATCCATGGAATTAACATGGAATCAGATGTTTTTAGGACCTTTTTTTAAACCAGATGTTTTAATCTCTGTGAGCAATTAATAAACTTCAGCTATAAACTCACACTGTTACTCAGCTACAAACTTGTAAGGTAAAAAGAAACATTTTGTTGCAAAAGAAAATCACCGCAAATGTGTATTTGCACAAAGAAACATTATCACAAATTAGGAAGTAGACTGGTGATAGAAAACATTGCCTGGGCTAGGCCGCTAGGGACAGAAGGAGTAAGTGGTGAAGGTGGTAAGGGAGGTCATAGACACGATCATGATTTTCTATGGAGTCTCTAATTGCAGCCATCAGCAGTTCAGAACTATCAATGGCAGGTATATCCAATCGTCCATTGCCGCTGTCAGTTCAAACAGCTAAACAATTATATATGGGCAGCCCATAGAAAGCACCAATGAAGAGAACAAAAGGGAGAATATGTCCCTTTTGGATGGTATCTTTCTCATTCTTAGATAAGCAGCTAGTAAATTTTATTCATGTCATCTCAGATGGCTAGGTGCATGTATTTTTTTAAGAAAAACTTAAAACCAGATGCATATTTTTTTATCATCAATAATCAAGCTTTTTTTTTACATTCACAAACTTATACCGTAGCCCCTTATTCCATTTAATTTGTAGAACCAATGATGTAACACTTGAACCAGAGAGCTAACATTGGCAGTAAAAACTGAGATACAGATTGCAGCAAATTTTATTTAGATCAACATAAAACTGAATGCAGGGCCAGGGGCATGAGTGATGTATGGGCGCACTTGTGAAGGAGCATCAGTGTAGCAGCGTAAGTCCTTCGTTAACATCCATCAAATGATGTAACGTCGAGATGCATTAAAAAAATGACTTTTCGAAAACTAAGAGGTACATTTATTTTAGGACCGAGAGAGTTTTTTTTCCCCGAAACAACACTATCTCAGGCGTGATTCGCGTGAACGGAACGGGCCTGGTGTCCGGTCCATCAATCGAACTGTGCCACGGCCTCCCGAGCTCCCGTCGTCCGGGCTTCCTCGATCCCCTTCCCCAACCTCCGTCCTCCCGAGATCCTCCGGCCTGGGAGCCCCATTTCCGACCCCTCCACCCCTGCCCGCACACCCGCCCGACCGGGCGCCTTATCCGCCTCCCTCTCTTCGGCGGGGTCACAGTATTCGCCGCAGGGCGCAGGCTGGCCCCATCTGGCCGGCGGCGGCCACGTCGACAGCCTGGCAACCGCGTGTCCAGCGCCCTTTCGGCTTGGTACCAACTGTGGACGAGCGGTGGCCGGCGTTGACCAAGCTGCCGCGGCTGACACCCGAGATTGTGGGCTAAGTCTTTAATCCTGTTCGGATTCCTGAAACCCTGTGTTCATGATGTGTTCGTTTCGGACTCCGGCTGAGACCTCTCTCGATGCCCCCTCTTTATAAAAGCTGGGGAAAAGAGAGATTTTTGCATCTTTGGGGGTACGAATCATCTCGCCTTAACCTACACGCCGCCGACGCCTTTTATGCCGAGATTGGAATTCAGGGCTCTTCACTCCTCAGAATTTACATTACATGGTCGAAGTACAAAGGAGCTGATTGTCCTGACACCAATTCTTTTTTCTCGCGTTTATTCCAGTGCAGATTATCTCAGAGTCGGCCAAATTTGGGTGACATGATGATGGGGAATAAGAGGAGGGCTGCAGCATCATCTGTCGCTGCACATTTCCTGCCGGAGGAGATAATGACAGAGGTGTTCCTGCGGCTGCCAGTCAAATCCATCCTTCCTTTCCGGGCCGTCTGCCGGTCCTGGAACGCAGAGCTTTCGTCCGACGAATTCTGCCGCCTCCACATGGCTAAGTCCGAAGCGGAGCCAGCACTGCCGAACCTGTTCTTCACTTCACCAACAGCTGGTTTCGACGCCACCGTGGTGTACTCAAGCTCATCATCAGGCCCCAATGACGCCCTGCTGTTCACTCTCGACGATGTACGGGGCGGCGATTTCATCCACGTGACGCCGGCGCCGTGCCATGGCCTCACCCTTCTCCACGATCCTTTTGCACCAGCTTACTATGTCTTCAACGCATCCACAAGGGCAGTTACCCGGTTGCCCCGGTGCCACAATGCGGCGTATGTGACCGCTGGACTTGGGTTTGATGCCCGGACGAAGAAGTACAAGGTGGTGAGGTTATTCTGAGGGGATTATGGTGGTAAGCAGCATATTAAGTGTGAGATATACACGCTGGGTGGTGATCATGGGGATGATTGGAAGCCGCCTGCTGCAGGTGTACCCTTCAGATTCTGCAGGGCTGCTCAGGCAACTATTAGCCATGCTAGACATGATAAACTGCTTCCAGTATTTGCAAATGGATTTCTGCATTGGCTTCTCAGTCCCTCGTTCGTCGTTAAAAGGCCACAGGCTGCCATCCTATCCTTTTCCGTCACAGATGAGACCTTTGCATGGGTCCGGTCACCACCCTTTGAGGTATCATCAGGTGTGCACTTGGTGGAGTTTGCTGGCCACTTGTGCATGGTCCGGGACCTTCGTAATGTCAGCGGCGTGCTGGAGATTTGGAAGCTGAATGACTATGGCTCTGGTGGTTGGTCATTGGAACATCGCATTGATCTGTTGCAGCAGCATGTTGGCAGAGATCGTTTAATTGAGCCTCAGATTATTAGAGTTCTTGGTTCTGTTGGCAACTGTGGGTCGTCCACGAAGAGGATAGTCATTGCTACATCCAAACGCAAGGTGATTGTCTATGACCCCATGTCTCAGACCCTAGAAGAAACTGTTATTGCAATCAGAGAGACCCATTCATCTTACCAAGCCGAAAATCTTGCTCTTATCAGCATCTCCCTATTTCAAGAGAGCCTTGCTCCAGTGCATCAGACAAATGAAGAGAGGGCCCTGTCAGCTCCCCTGGCTAGAGCGGCTAGGTAGATCTTGCTCCGACTCCCAGCTGACTGTACCATGCGATGCAAACTTGTCTGCAGGCAGTGGCTTAGCTTGATTGAGGGTAACAGCTTTGTGCGCTCTTATTACTCACATAACAACATGGACAAGAGGCCTAAGATCATGCTTGTGGGCAAGGGCATCACTAGACGATCCTCATTCAGTTTTACTCCCTGCTCAGAGTTGCTCCAACACGTTCGTAGTCATGATGATATATGGCTTGACACAAAGGTGGTCTGCTCCAAGCCTTGCCATGGCATGAACCTGCTAAGCACTGAGCTGGAGGATTATCTCTACAACCCCTGCACAGGTTTCTGCTGCGTGTACCACACTCCTAACTACGGTTTTATACCAGAAGCAGGCCATGCTTTCGGACTTGGCCGCAAGAATGTTGGCCTGGGGTTCAATCTGTCGACGCAGGATCACGTGATTGTTGAAATGTTTTACCACCTGAAGGACTTCGAATCCCGTCGATATTTCTTGACCTGCATGGTTTCCAAGTGTTGCAGGGGCTCCTTGAGAGACTGCTTCCCGCCACCTCTGCCTGTGAGTGACATGCCGCCCGCCTATCTTGCAGGAGTGCTCTACTGGATGACTGATCCAAGGTTAGGCGACAGTGACGCGAGGGCTGTTGTGTCGTTTGACATAACAAGAAGTGAATTTGCTGTCTTCCCCTGTCCGCCGTGTATTGCTACGTGGAACTGCCAAAGTTCTTCCAGTGCTTTGGTGGTTGAGCTTGAGGGGGCATTATGTGCTGTTCTTGCAGACCCTGATGTACAAGAGCTGAACATTTGGAAGCGAGAGCATGGTCAGTGGCATAGCACATACACGGTGTATTTGGAAGGCTGGCCAGGCTATTCCCTCGGAGCAAATGTTGTGGTGCCATGGGCTATCGATCCAAGGACAGGAAGATCTTGCTAAACACGGGGAGGAAATTGGGATTTTATGATCCAGCAAGGCGTTCTATTGAGAATCTGTATGATCTTGACGAGGTGCTGCGTGTCAGGAGTACAGAGCAACCCTCTCGTGTTGCAGTCCCTGAAAATCTTCACATTGCCAAATTGAAACGTGCTATTGAGAAGCTCTGTTCACAGGAATCGCTTCGTGTGCAGCACAAGTTTTCAGATGATCCTTCGCCTGCTCTATTTGGGAATAGTTCTGCATGCTCCGGCGGAGAGCAATGCTTGGAGAGAAGAAATTCATTGCATACTGAAATAATGCCCTTGGTCCCTATGTTATACGAGGAGAGCCTGGCAAGTTATCCCCGAAAGCGCAAATCAAGGGTTTTATTACGTACTATAGCATTACAGTTTCCATAGCATGGCTATATGCCTTTTTTTTGTTATTTTAGTATCTAGTGTTGGGATATAATAGTAGGCAACAACCAACAAGACCAATCATCAGCAATGTTTCTATTGTCTTCTGATTATGTACTGATTGTACCATTGATGTTCCTTATAGCTCTGGTTTTCGAAACGTAAAACTTACCGAATGAACATAACGTTTTTTAAATGAATAGCATGTTTCTTTTGAACTTAAGTGGCTGCTTTTTAATCAAGATAGATTTTTTTTTACGACGTGCCGATATAAGATACGGCCTAAAAAAGCAGGAGTTCGGCCACATGCTATCTGGCGTGTGCGCTCGACCTTGAGCTTGAGGTGCTCGCCCGACTTAAACTCGCTCTTGCTGGCCAGTGACCTACCCAACTCCGACGCAACGCAACTGAAAGCGACTGCATGGGATGATGACTCGGGTTGGCATTCGGTAACCCAAAAATTTTGGTAATTGGAAATTTATGTATTAAAAATTGATACCTGATTTTAGTTTAAAAGAACTTTAAAAGAACATTATTTGAAATTTAGGTACCCGATAATTCGGATTTGAGTATTACCCGATATTCCTGAATTTGACAAAACCAACAATTTTGACAGAATACTAGTAGCATTTTAACGTAATATATAAACAATAGTCCTTCAATCAAATCACACCATGTCTTCATATTAGGGATAGAATTGCAAATATTTGAGATATTTCCTGTAGTTCGGGTACCGTAAAACATTACTCGAACTACCTGAGCAGCTACTATCCAAAATTATGATCGGGGATTTTGGGTTCAGGTACTTTGGGTCCGGGTTCGGGTAATTCAGAATCGAGAATCGGATATTGGGTATTTTCCCACTACAAAGAGCTAAATGGATGTATTTGCATCGCATCCATTTCTTATGATTATTCTTCATCCAATTCCATATTTGTATTTAAAAAAAATGAAATGTCCATTGTTACCCGTATCCACGGATAACAAAGTACCATCTAATTTTTATACTTAATTAATAATGTAAATCATAATTATTCTAATATAACTTGTTCAAACTATTTAAAAGTTATCCCTATGCCTAATATGACTAATCATAAAGGTCAGGTTTAATTTATGATAATTTTAAAACTTATAATATGATAATTTAAAACTACTAAAAGCATATATTTATGATTTTTGATAATTTAATACTACAATTAATGATATGTAACGTTTAAGTTTAACTAACTTTAACATGACTAATCATATTAATGTTAAGTACTTTAGTTTATTTATATTTTATTTTATTTTTTGTGTTTAAGTTTATTTGTAGATAAATATTTATGTGCATTCAAATATTTATCTATACTTTTATTGATTATTATGTATTTGATTATTAAAATATTTATTAATAAATATGTTAAGTACATAATATTAATTTTAAGCTAATTTATATGTTATTAGTTATCAAAATTAAGTAGATACCCAAATGTAAATTTGAATTCGAGACATCCATTTTATATCATTTCATAGTCAAATTCAAACTTAAAATATAATAAAAAATCTTATTCGAATTGGGTTCTATACGAATCCGATCAAATCCATCCTTACTAACAAAACCGCCAACACTCATGACAGCAGGTGGATCAAAGTGCGAAATATCCTTTGAATCGAATTGCAATCTGTTCGTCTCTAATGCTCAGGGGGCGTCCGTCCGATTGGATGTTGTCTTTCTGGCCTGTGCAGCCCACCAAGGCCTGCCTCCTCCTCTTTACGTCATTCAGATTTTTCTCTCAAAAATATCTACCAACTTCCTTACTCCATCGCACGTTTCACGGCGTTTCACGGCGCCATGCGGCCGTCCGTCCGCTCCACTCTGCATTTGTCGTCGCAACCATCTCCCCGCACGCGCCCCACCTTATGTTGTTCACTTCTCGCTCCTGCCCGTGGCACGTGCCCACCCGTGGCTCTCGCTCCTTGCTCCCGCAGTCCCACCCGCGCCACTCGCTCTTGCACCATCAGACGTGCCGCACGCCTCTGCTGGTGCTTGTGGTGTCGTCGCGCGCCTCAGGTCGGTCCCCGGCCGACCAGAGGGCACCCATGAGCGCGGCCCCATGCTGATGGTGCTTGCGCCCCGAGGTTGAAATCAACCGGCCCCGACCTCCCCTCCCATATGTTGCAATTTTATGTTTCTAAGTGTTTCAGATGTTTCAGAGACATGATGTAGGTGATTCTTATGGATGTTGCAAAAATAGATTGGGATGTTGCATATGTTGCAAGTGTTTCAGAGGCATGTTGCAACCGTTTGTTTAAAATATTTCATCTATTTCAGACTTATATTGCAAGTGTTTTTGAACTGGATGTTACACATGTTTCACACCTACTCCCTTTGTCCCTAGATAACTGTTATTCTTGTTTACCGAGAAATAACTTTGACTAATTTTATATAAAAATATTAATATTTATGGTACATAATTAATATCATTAGATAGATCATTTAATCTATTTTCATAATAAATTTATTTGTAGATAAAATTATTGACACGTTTTCTATAAATCTAGTCAAACTTTCGGCACGAAAGAAAAACAACAGTTAGTTATGGACAGAGGGAGTATGTTGCAAGAGTATGTTCGAAATGTTGTAGGAATAAGTGTTTTCATGTTGCATATTTTGTAAGTGTTTTATCTGAATGTTGCATATGTTTCACACACATGTTGTAGTTGTATGTTTCAAATGTTTCATCTGCTTCAGTCGTATGTTGCATCTAAGTGTTTAATGTTTTAGAGGTAGAGAGTCCTGGGGGGCACGACCCGGGCGTCGAGAGATGGGGCGCGATGAGCCATGGGCCGGCGGCCGGGGCACACGGTGTACCTAGGATCCTACGGATGGGCGTGTGCTCGTCCTCATGCTGGCTCTCGGCTCCCACCTACCTAGAAATAGAGGAGGGAGGTCAAGGGAAGGAGTGGCGAGCGCGACGTTTCCCGCATATGCATAGGCGTCCAGACTCGTGGTTGCGGAGAGAGAGAAAGGGGCCAGGGAGAAGGAGCGGGTGGCGCGCCCTTTTCGTGGGCGCGTGTGATAAAGGTGGCATCGGACACGCTCTTTTGTCCGAATGTCCACACGCTAGTGTGGCAGAACCGTCCAAAATAACATGCTTTTAGAGGCGCTCATCTTTCACTAGCACTAAGCATCCTGAAAGTTAGCTACATCGGACAGTTCCGTCAAGCCCACCCCAAGGGAGAAATCGAAACAATCCATGTTTTACATCCAGAATCCAATAATGAGTACGAGCTTACAATACTTAGTCTATTTCATATAACAAGAGTTTTTAGAAATTATTTATTACAATATTAGAATTCAGAGGGCGATAATTAAACAGCAGAATAAAACCACACAAAAGCTACTCCTCAAGCTGCACCTACAATAGGGGTAAAATAAATCATGAGTACACAATATACTCGTAAGACTTATCCGACTAGTGGGAATAGTTTCCCGACTCTCAAGGATATGATAGACAATATGGGTTTGCTTTTTTCTTTTATTTGCGAAAAGCATTACTAGAAGTGCGTCCTTAAGATCAAGTTTAATTAGCAGTCATGATTAATTCATTAGCTAATCGTCCTAGGTAGCACATGTTCTACTTTCAAGCAAGGGTTAAGCAATCAGAACTATTTCACCATCTTTTATCTTTCAGTTCTTACTACGGTGCTAGACCATAGCCAAGTCGTCTGCCGTCTCATGAAAACGCCGATTCACAAACCAATGTATCCCAGCTGGGTACCCCAAAACTGTAACACCCTCGGTGTTACGCCGTAAATCACTTACTAAAATATATCATAAACATCATGTTTAAATGTTATTGCATGTGATAATATGAACAAGTAAAGCATTGTAATTTAAACGAAAAGTCATTTCACGACTGAGGAAATTAGCAAGTAAGGATATTCATGAATTTTTACTGAACAAGAACACTATAGAACATGTAGGTGACACTGAAATAAAGTTGGGAGTGCAAACTTTATAGAGGGTGATGAAATACTTGCTATTGAAAAACGATATGGCTAAGTGGTATTTCTAATAGCTTAGAAATGCAAGCTGAAATAGAGTTGATTCAAGACTTAGAGAAAATTTCATATTGGGAACAGCTTGACATAACCATGTTTGTCAAATTATTTAGGAGAATTGGGTTAGGGAGTGAAGGGGTGCTTTAGCTCGGTTTAGTAGACCTATGTGCCAACTTGGGGGTGGAAGAGGTGGTTTGGAGGTAGGAGTAACGGTTTAGGAATTTTCGCTTTAAAAACTGTGCATGCATTGTTCCTGCCGTCGCCTCTGTCTGAGTGCGGTCACCGGGCCGGGCGAGCTCAACGTCGTGGCCCTAGCACACCTGGCGCACGCACTCACGCTGCCACGCGCGGCTGGCCATCGCTGCTGCTACCCCCATGCCAGCTGTCGTGCCCATGTGTCCCTGCGCCCGCAGCCCTAACGTCGCGGTGCCGGTGCGTAGGCGCGCGTGCACCCTGCGCGTGGTCGCCTGCTGCGCGCCCATCGCTGCTTCTGCTCCCGCTGCCATCGCATTCCCTTGCTGCACGCTGCCCAGCATCGCACCACGTGCTTCCGCACACTACGCTGCTGCGCGCCAATCGCTGTGCCACGACCCTGCTCAGCGCTGCGTTTCTAGCTCACCTGGGCTCCGCACGCGCGCAGCAGAGCCATGTCGCCTCGTCATTAATGGCGTTAAGGCGCGCGGGCCACACCGGGCGTGGGGGTGTGCCCGTTGGCTTGTGCTTAGCCGCAGGGTGTTCCCATCGCACCATCAACGTCACGCCAAGCCACGTTGAGTCATAGCCACGTCCCCACTGTCGTCTATTCCCTCTTTGCCCGCACCCCTGCCCCTGCCGTCGCTACGCCGTGCCTATGCGCCTAGGGTGAGACGTCACGTCCCACCATTCATTGTGCCACTGCTTCGCCACCACACCACTCTCTGGCCGCCCCACCCGCTTTGTTTGCGGCTCAGTCGAGCCCTAATTTGGAGCGGCGCCCGCCACCGCGCCGTTAAGACCCATCCCCCCCCCCGTGTCGTGGTCAGCCGCCGCACTGAGCCCCCGATAAATTTGACTGCACCTTTAGCTCCGCCCTGAGCCTCTAGCCGCAGCCCTGGGCCATTTCCTCGCTATGGACACGGTTGTGCCATTGTGGCTGCCGGTCACCCCCGCCGTGCGCACATGGCCAGCTTCGCTCGGGTTGGCTCCGACCAAGACAGCACCCCGAATAGGTCTCAAGTGAGTCGTCATTGCTCGCCTACCCCTTATCGCTTTGTGGTTGCGGTGGCTCACCAAAACGCCTTTGTCGTTGCCGCAGGACCCGCGCCGGTGTGGCCAGGCCTTGCTACGGTGTCTCGGCCCGTGTTTTCACCGCCCATCGATTTGCGTCGATGTCTAGGTGAGCATCGGTCCCTTAGATAGGGCGGGAAAGGTCTCGGTTGGCCGGCGGGGGTCGCCGCGTGCGGCCAGGGCGAGGACCTCTCCGTTGCGAAGGAGAGAAGGAGCGAGTGTTTTGTTGCAAAGTCGTAGTATGTTGAAATAGTGCACATAGTGTTAGTAGTATTATCGAAGAACGCGAGGGCGTTTTTGCAAGTTGGTCGGCGCGCGCGGCTGCTCCTGTCGTGGGCCATTTGCGTGCGTGGGCCGCACCTTGCGTGGGCTGAGTTGGGCCACGTAGGAGGGAATCGTTTTCCTTTTTAATGATTAGAAATAGCTTATTATTTTATGTTGTAAGTTGAACTTTGAAAATTAATATCAATTCGCATAGATGTCCAAAAATTATGAGATAAATTTTGGTAGGCTCCTAAAAATATTGTCTATCGGATGGTATGATTAGATTATGTAGGTCTAGGTTGATGTTGAGGCCTATTAAATCAATTGCGAGTGTTTAGTATTATTTAGATTAGTATTTGTAGGATTTTTGTGGCAAATGGGTAATAGTTTTGTTCATGAAATTTTTACAGTAGGTTTATTGTATTATTATGTGCTCACTATAATTTTTATAGCCTTAGAATATATTGATAAATAGGATAGCTAAGCACTCCTTGTTTTAGTATATATATAAAATCATAAATAAAGTAAGAAATGCATTTTTTGTTGCTAAGATAATACTTGAATGTTTCATACCTGTTTAGTGGAAAGGATATGTAGCTTAACATCTTAGTCATTAGAGTTAGCTTAGTAGCTTGGTAGATGTATTGTTATTTTAAGAGCTGCTGTTGCTAAAATGCTAAGTGTTACATCATCATTGCATGCACGTAGAGAACGCGTTAGTGGAGTTCGTGATCGTTGGAGAGCAGGAATACGAGGAGATGATTGAGGAGTACGAGGAGGAGGTCTTCGTAATGGAGGAAGCCTCGGAACCACCGACAACTGACGTAGCTGACCACCCGCCTACCCAAGGCAAACCTCGGTGCATAACCCTTTATTTTAAATATGTGACAGAACCGCTCAATTTATACAAGATCAAGTACGGCTGTCCCTGCTGATATGTTAACACGCACATACCTTCACTTATATAAACCCGGTAGTCCGCCGAGTGTCACGAATGACCTCGGTAAATCAACATCACAACCAAAATCACGTGATTAAGCAAATACATATCACATACACAGAGTTGTAGCGGAAATAATATTATAAATAGGTTCATAAATAATAGTACAAGTTTAGATTTCAAAACTGATTAGTGAAAACAACATAGCTTTTAAATGATTACATTAATATAAGTTCCAAATACATTGCTAACATAAGTGACATCATCTGACAAAAGCATATATATGAGAAATAAATATAGAGTCATCGAACCCACCGACAATTAGTCATCATCTTCAGCAGGCCAAAAACTTCACCTGTAAGTGAGATAATGACTTACCCGTTCAATGATCGTCAGTGAGATAATGACTTACCCGTTCAATGATCGTCGGTGTAGTGAACTTTTTTTTTTTATGAAATCAACCCAACAATTCGCCACCTCCCAAATCTGCCACAACAACCCACGCAAACCCTACTTCACAGAGGGACTGTAATTGGCGGCTTGGCGCTGGCGATATCAGCTGTCTCGGATTATGGATTTGGATCTGTGGATCGTTAAGGTCAAGGTGGGGCAGCACCTCGCCGAGCACGAGCTCCAGTCCCTCTGCGAATACGTACCGTCCTCTCGGCTCTCTGATAATCCCTTAATGCTCTAGCCTTTTGCTTTAAGGTTTGCTTCAGGCCATTAAGGTCGAGTGGCCAAGTCTTTGGGTTTCCCGTTTACTTATTGTTTGATACTCTGATGAGTTCGGTGCTGGCCTGCTGGGAATTCGGGTCACGAGCGTGCGATGCTTGTATTCGTGTGTTCTGCACATGTGCTGTATAAAATAATGTACTAATTGTATGGTGAAAATCCAGGTGAAGGAGATTCTTATCGAAGAGTCGAATGTGCAGCCTGTCAACAGCCCTGTGACTGTGTGCGGTGACATCCACGGGCAGTTCCATGACCTCATGAAGCTGTTTGCAACTGGAGGGAATGTCCCTGATACAAATTACGTATTTATGGTCCGCTCTTGAGTTATTGATGCACTGGTGACTAGGTATCCTGTGTCGGAGCAATGTCACTGATTCATGACCTGAGGTTGGATTGACTTGCAGAGCGACTTTGTTGACCGCGGGTTCAACAGCCTGGAGGTCTTCACTATCCTTTTGCTTCTAAAAGCAAGGTATTGCATCGAATGCCTGTTCGGGTATTGTTTTTTTAATGGTAGTTATGATATCATAGAGTGGTGAGCATTTTACAAAGTACTTAATACTGATCCAATTACGTGCGATGTCAAGAGTCTTGAGCATTTTATTTTACATAGTATTTAATATCCATTTTTGGATTTGTTTCCTTGATGTCATGTATTTAACCAATCTGAGTGTCATCATGCGAAACATCCAGATTACTGCTACATAAATTAGGACCTTCTTAATTAGGTCTGTATACTACAAAATTGTGGCTTTTGAGCTTTCATGTATAGGAGTACATGTTAATTACACTATGCTTGTTTCTTTTCTCCTTATTCAAAGTAGCATTGATATCAATTTATCCTGTAGGCTGTAGCTTTAGTTTGTCAACACTGTTTGAAAAAAATGGCCACCTGGGTGCTATACCCCATCCTATCTCACAGTTCCTTATTGCTTCCTGGACCAACTGAAGAGCTAGGAATCAAGTAGTAGCGCATAGTGCTTTCTAAAACAATGACTGCCAGTGATTTACCAAGATCTAGTTAGTGACTGGGCACATGAGATTTAATATGAAGAACCTCTAGAAAGTGTGTACCTGTTAGTTTAGCCACCTAAGTAGAGTTGTTGGAACATAAAGATGTTTTAGATATTTTTTGGTCCGTAGAATTAATGTCCGCTAAACAAATTTCCTAATAGCACCAGATTGTGTTGACTCCATTTTGATATATCAATTGTAATAATTAATTCTCTTTCATTCCAACTTGTTTCGCTAGTTCTGTAGGCTGTTTCTCAATTCGTAATTTCAAGAAGCTCAGATCATAAATCTATGTGAAGCCTCATTTAATTTATTGTTTCATTGATTTTCTGTATGTTATAGGTATCCTGCCCACATAACCCGGCTGCGCGGAAATCATGAAAGCAGACAGTTGACACAGGTAAACTTATGTCCAAATGTAAAGATTATTTTCCCATTTTGTATTTTCTCTAATTTGCATTCACATATTTCTTTTCAGTTGCTGTCTCATTTAGTTCAATTCATTTATTCTAAATAAGAATATTGCCTACCGTGCCTGGCCAACCCAACAGTTCTATATCATGAAAAAGGCTAATGCATTTATATATGTTTTAGGTGTATGGTTTTTATGATGAGTGTCAAAGGAAATATGGAAATGCCAATGCATGGCGATATTGTACTGATGTTTTTGATTACCTTACTCTTTCAGCAATCATTAATGGCACAGTAAGTTACCGGTTTTTTTTTTTTGTGATTTTATTTCATGACCAGTGAGAAGCAACAACCTGACAAGTTATACTTGCTGACATGCTGAATATCTAGGTCCTTTGTGTTCATGGTGGCCTTTCACCCAATGTACAGTCAGTAGATCAGGTTAGTGATTCTTCATCTTCATTTGATGAGGTTTTGCCTCTTTATAATGTCCTGATGAACTATCATATCATAAGATATGTTGCTTTGCGAATTATGATGCCAATATGCCATTTTAAGGCTTGTTACCCTTTTTTCTTTGTAAATTAGTTAGGGACACTTTATGCCCCTTTCAGTAGCTTTCTAGCTGTTTTAAGGGATACCTTCATTAAGAAAAGCATCAGATGATGAGTGGTTATTCTAGCTAGCATCAGAAAGTAAGTGGTTATCAGTTACTAACTTTCCACCAGTTGACTGTGTAGGCCGCCTTTTTGAAATTTAATGCTAGTTTGCTACTAGAGATATTCTTGTGATGAAAAAATGTGGAAGCCACCCATGCATATAGCGAAATGCTTGTTTAGTGGAACTCATGCATCAACTGAACAAATATCTGACCTTGTGATTTCACTTTTCTGTTGGATGAGGTCAAATCTGTTTTCAGAGAATGCTGACTCAGTTTTGTGTCTCATGAATATTCCATATCTTTGTTGTTTCCAGATACAAATAATTGATCGCAATTGTGAAATTCCGCATGAAGGGCCTTTCTGTGATCTGATGTGGAGCGACCCAGAAGAGATTGATACATGGGCAGTTAGTCCCCGCGGAGCAGGTTGGCTCTTTGGAACAAGGGTGACTCAAGAGGTATTTTTTCTTTTGTTTATTACTGTATATAGTTGATTTCAAGTACATGCTTACTGCTTGGCCTTTTTTCAATGCAGTTCAACCATATTAACAAGATTGAATTAGTTTGCCGGGCTCATCAACTGGTCCAGGAAGGCCTAAAGTACATGTTTGACAAAGGTCTTGTAACTGTGAGTTATCAGTTCACAACATCACTTGTAGATTTGCATCAAAATGCAGTTCCACATGCTCACTAGGTCTTTATCTTCTTTTTTCCAGGTGTGGTCTGCACCTAATTGTTACCGATGTGGCAATGTTGCTTCTGTACTAAGCTGCAGTGAAAATATGGTAGGTCACTTCATGTTCACTCATGCACTAGCTCCTGGTATTTGGATGGCTGCCTTCAAATGACAATAATACGAATATTAAAGGAATCCTCCTGATTTTGGGTCTTTGATAATTTCAAAGAAAGGTTTTTGCTAGTTCGTATATCTTGGATGTAGCCTACCCCAACTTACTTGGTGTTAAAAGTTTTTGTTCTGGTGCTCATGTTGTATATCTAGGATGTAAAGTGCTAACATAGTAACATTATGTTTTCCTATGATGGACTGTAGAAGCTGCTCGAGTCCTAATACATAAGCATGTGGGGGAGGAGACTTAGAAATTGCTCCTCTACATCTTTTTTTTTTTGTCTTCGTACAACGTACTATTGTTATATGGCTGGAACTGAACAATTCCATTATAATTTTGAAAGATTTATCTTAGTGTCAGTCATCTCAATGACGTGGATGTAACAATTTAAACTAGGAAACTAATGGTGGCTTTCATCTATTCTATTTTAACGGCATGTGAATTTTAAGCTACCAAGTTATTGCAGCAACCGGTTTGTGCTGACATGAGTTCTGGTGGTGTTATTTTCCTGTGCTTTTATCTGCTGATCTTTTTTGCTCTGTTTCCAGGAAAGGGAGGTCAAGTTTTTCACGGAGACGGAAGAAAACAACCAGATGCGAGGGCCAAGAACTGCAGTCCCATATTTTCTTTGACCCCCGGTTGTACTTTTTTTTATTTGTGATTGTTCTTTTGTATGGGCTAAATGCCATCAGATAGAGATAGGTGTTCATAGTTGTAGGTTCAGCCCAGAACGCAATCTGGTGCATTGTATGCCAGGTAACAGGTTATTTTGTCTGCCTGCACAGTAGATGTTGAAAGCAGCACTGCCCTCTTTTTGCGTCACTCCATTCTCAGTGTCACTGTCTTGTCACATCCTTAATGCAACCTACTGCCATTCATCGTAAATCACAACTAAAGCATGCTTCACTTTTTTTGAATTATGCTGAGGACTACGATATAGAATCTGTCAACCAACAGATACATTCTGGGACTCGCTGACAACGCATGAGAGAATGGCATCAACGAGAAAATAAAAATATACAGAAGGAAAGCAGCTTGCTGTATCTCCAGAGCGCGGCCATGGGCAGGGATATAGTTTTTCAAACGGGCGGCACTGCCACTAAACGGCACTAGCACTATCAGGCACGGTGTCACTGCCATGCCGTGTAGTGTCACCGTGCCTAGACTCTCGGCCAGAGTCTAGGCACGGTGACACTACACGGCAATCTGGTGCATTGTAGGTGTTCATAGTTGTAGGTTCAGCCCAGAACGCAATCTGGTGCATTGTATGCCAGGTAACAGGTTATTTTGTCTGCCTGCACAGTAGATGTTGAAAGCAGCACTGCCCTCTTTTTGCGTCACTCCATTCTCAGTGTCACTGTCTTGTCACATCCTTATTGCAACCTACTGCCATTCATCCTAAATCACAACTAAAGCATGCTTCACTTTTTTTGAATTATGCTGAGGACTACGATATAGAATCTGTCAACCAACAGATACATTCTGGGACTCGCTGACAACGCATGAGAGAATGGCATCAACGAGAAAATAAAAATATACAGAAGGAAAGCAGCTTGCTGTATCTCCAGAGCGCGGCCATGGGCAGGGATATAGTTTTCCAAACGGGCGGCACTGCCACTACACGGCACTAGCACTAAACGGCACGGCACTATCAGGCACGGTGTCACTGCCGTGCCGTGTAGTGCCACCGTGCCTAGACTCTGGCACGGTTAGAGTCTAGGCACGGTGGCACTACACGGCAATCTGGTGCATTGTAGGTGTTCATAGTTGTAGGTTCAGCCCAGAACGCAATCTGGTGCATTGTATGCCAGGTAACAGGTTATTTTGTCTGCCTGCACAGTAGATGTTGAAAGCAGCACTGCCCTCTTTTTGCGTCACTCCATTCTCAGTGTCACTGTCTTGTCACATCCTTATTGCAACCTACTGCCATTCATCCTAAATCACAACTAAAGCATGCTTCACTTTTTTTGAATTATGCTGAGGACTACGATATAGAATGTGTCAACCAACAGATACATTCTGGGACTCGCTGACAACGCATGAGAGAATGGCATCAACGAGAAAATAAAAATATACAGAAGGAAAGCAATTTGCTGTATCTCCAGAGCGCGGCCATGGGCAGGGATGCAGCATGCGTCTACGTGTCTCTGCTGCTGCCGCCGCTATCGTGGCAGCCAGGCCGCTATCGTGCCTCATTGCTTCTACATTTTTCTTACACCCACAAGCCCACAAGTAATGATTGATCGTCTGATCGACACCGGCGAGTCCATGAGCACACAACTTTTTTTAAAGTCATTTTGATGCCAAAATAACCAATACAAGTTTCAAATCTATATTTGTATACATGTGTGTTGTATCAATTATTCAGCACTAAGATGGCTTCAAACGAAAAAAAAATCATGAACTTTAAAGTTGTAGATCTCGTCAAGCTACATGAAATTTTGTGTTTTTTGTCCCTGTCTGATTTCATATGAAAAAACTGTGATTTTTAAGACATTGTCACACACAAAAAAAAGTTTCCACCATTTGAATCGGCGGTAAGGTAGTTCTGCCAGTTTATTGGCGATGATAAGTTAATATCGCTATATCAATTGGCGATGCGAGTTAGATATGTAACTTTTTTTTGTTGGGAAGTTCTTTTTTGCCAAAAAAACGAGTTAAGAAATTAAAAAATCGTGAGGCGTTGACTGCGCGCCAGCTCAAGCCCAGGCATGCAAAGGTTTTTTCACTTGTGAAACCGTTGGCGGGCCGGACTCCGCGGGATGCATTGCTGGACAGCCCAAGGATGGATGTACCACAGCCCACCGAATTGCTGGACAGCCTAGGGGAAAGCAAAGGTTAGACAGCTGATGATGAATTAGCACCATATCGTGCAGCTACTAAGATGGGATTATGGGGTGTGCTATAAGAGGAAGGGCAGTGTCACTTAATCAAGACACAGCAGCTGCGTGGTGAGCACAAAGCGAACTATTCTTTCGCCTTTTACTAAAGAATACCGTGTGCTCGCCACAATTAGCAGCATACGCTAATTTTTGAAGGGTGTTCTCCTATTTAGGAGGACCCCAACAAACTAAATTCAAATTTTATATTAATTGATTAATTTGAAAACAAAATAAAATTGAAATATTGTATATTAATTAATTTAAATGCCAAAAATGCAGAGCAGCCAACTGTCTTGCCAGCCAGGAGCAGAGCAGCCATGTCTTGGCATCGCACCATTAGTTCATCAAGGGCTGTGTCTTCTCGCTGCATACATGATACATGTCGTCACTGCTGATCTGACAGTCTGACAGCAATTCCCAGGATGAAGCTCATGCAGCAATGGTGATGATACAGTTCCACAGCTTGTCCTCTGCACAGGCGCCAACAGCAAAGTGAAAATTCACCGGTTGTGCCTGGTATTAGTAGGTCCGTAGGAGTCTCCAAGGCACGGGCATTGTATCTTGCTCACCCATATAACGAGCTCTATTAATGTCGTTAGCTTCGGTGACGCATGGAATTGCGGTTATGAGGTGGTGTGATTCGTTTCCGGGTAGTAATTTGGCAGCAGGAGACGAGAGCATCAGCTTCAGCCTATCAGATATTCAGATTGCTGAAGCTGAATACGACAGGGCCCGTTTGTCCAGTCAGTTCTCCCAAAATATATGTAAACAAGAACATGAAACCTCCGCATATTCGGTGAACTTCTACTAATCTACACCATAATGTTTTCGAAGCAGTAATCTGCCTCCTGAGGCTGCGTGACTCACTCCAACCTAAAACCGCTCCTGATTTCATCGACCCAAAGTGATCTTGGGACTTCCATTTATATGCTGTCCAATGAACCACCAAGGCAACTGATTTAACAAGGAAATGCGAGCTGGGGGACAAATCACAATCACCAGCCAGATATTTGCTCGCTTTCTAGAAGGAGGCCGTGACATCATGGATAATATAGCTGCGACTGCGATGTGTTCTACTGCTAGTGAGCTCCTCTGAATTCTGCCAAGCATTCAGGCTTGGAACTTCAGCGCCAACGCTTTGTCATTTCTGTTAACACACACGGCTCCAGAATCCTTTTACCTTGTTTCTGTCCTACTATATAACCATAGTTTCCAGCTTCCAAGAGACCTTCCAAGAACATGGAGGGTAAAATGGAGCAGAACTCTGGAGAGATCAGATTAGGAGAGGCCATGAGCATCTTTGGTCAGAGCATCGACGTGAGGAGGCCGGGGAGGAGCAGGAGAACGAGAAGAGCCACCCACAAGGTACCATCTGATCAAATCTCTGGAAGGAAATGATGTGCTGCCTTTTTCTTTCTTTCTTTCTTTAATGTCCTTTTTGTTGCCGATTTGTACTGCTCTGTGATGTATTTGACATCGACCGTGGCGCATGTAGAAATTCTCACCTGCGAACGACTAACCGGCAAGACCCAGCCTGGAGAGGCTGCACCAGCGCAGGGCCGTCACGGAGCGAGAGCGCGGCCGTGCCGAGTCCGAGCTGTCGAGGGCAACTGGCATGGCGCAGGAACTGGAGCGGCAGATCGAGCAGGCCAACGCCACGCTCACAGGCCGGAGCTCCAAAGAACACATGCCAGCGGCAGCGGTAGCAGCAGGAGGAAGAAGCCGGGGCTGGTGGTGGACGCCGATCAGCCTCGGGATCAGAGCAACACGCTAATCGTCGAGGTGATGCAGGAGCTGGACCGCGTCAAGAGCGAGCTCCGGGAGCTGCAGTGCGAGGTGAAGGCCGCGAGGGAGGCCAAGGCCGAGGCTCACGGAGACGCGGAGACGCCGACGCCCAGAGCGATAAGCCCCGGTTCGCGTACGCTCGACGGCGTTGAGCGAGAGGCCGGCGAGGAAAACGAGGAGCACGGCCGTGGCATAGCGGAGCTCGCCGTGGCCGGAGGATTCCGCGAGGGCGTCCAGGTCACGAGGGCGCTTGCCGACGTGCTGCGGAGGGACAGGAGCCTCGGAGCGAGCGACCTTGACGACAGGTACGCCACCGACGTGGGACTCGAGTCCGCGGACACGGTGGTGGTGCCAGCGACGGAGGAGACGAGCCACGCCGAGTACGCACTGACGATCGCGCGACACGGGGAGCACGAACGCGACGACCGCTCGTCGCGGCAGGCTGCGGAGTCCGAGCTGACCTCGGCGAGGGTAGAGCTGGAGTCCATCAAGGAAGAGGGAGCCCGGTTCACCGGCTCCGTGGAACGCACGCGCATGGAGAAGGCGCGTGTCACCGAGGAGATCGATCGCCTCGCCGAGCAGGAGGAGAGGGCCAGCGCGCAGGTGCAGCAGCTGAACGCCAGGCTTCTCAGGGCCAGGTCCCGACTGGACGCCGCCACGGCCGCTGACGAGAGGGCCGAGGCGGTGCTCGCCGAGCTGTCGGCCGCGCTGCGGCAGCTGGGCGAGGAGACCGAGGCGGCGGAGAAGGAGAGGGCGCTGACGGAGCTGGAGAACCAGTGCGTCAGAAGAGGACGCGGACACCGTCGGCGCCGAGATCGCGGCGGTCGAGCAGTGGGTCAGGGAGTCAGTCAAGGAGCTCGAGGCAGCGAGGGCGTCGGAAGCCGTGGCGACGGCGAAGCTCAGGGCCGCCGTCGAGGCCGCAACGCTGGCCAGGGCGGCGGTCATGTCGCAGCAGACGTCCGGGAACGTGACGATCTCCAGGTTCGAGTACGAGTACCTGACCGGCCGCCCCGAGGTCGTCCGGATCGTCGCCGAGAAGAAGGTGGCCGCGGCGGTGGCGTGGGCGGAGGCGCTGCGCGCCGGCGAGAAGGAGATATCGATGCGCATCGAGATGATCGAGAAGGAGATGGCACAAGCGAGGGCCTTGGAAGCGGATGCCACGGACAGCCCGAGCGGAGAGGAGCCTGAACCGCGGGTTGGCTTGCAGCGCGCGCAGACGTGGGGTCGGAGACGTCGAAGACGACGGGGACACCGTCATCGTCGGTGGTGGTGCGGAAGCAAAGGCCGCCATCGTTCAGCATCAAGAGCAGGAAGACGAGGACAGTGGTGTCCAAGTACCTGAAGGTCGTCACCGGGAAATGTGGTGGATGAAACATGCTCCCCAATACTTCATAGTTCAGACCAAGCTGAATTCAAGCTGGAGCTGGGGGAAAAAGTCTTAAATTATATTGAGATGCAGCAATTTTCTCAACAGAATGCATGGAAGAACTCATGCAGTCCGACTGTCATGCGTTGAGTCAGACAGGCAGTACTGTACTAGACACTGTACTCAATAGACCATGGAGAAAAAATTGTAAATTCTATATGCAAATAAATACTTGGATCCTGTGCTTGTACAAGCGTGTATGCAGACGGCTGGGCTGTACAGCAACAAAAGAAGAACTAATCTTTTGCATTTCAATTTGATTAATTATACTCGATGAAAGTGTGGTTTAGACACTAGAATAGGGACTTCAGGTCTTTGAGACAGTGGTCTTGCAAACCGGGCAAGCGTTCTTCCGAGAAAGCCACTGCTTTATGCAATGCACATGATAGCTGTGGCCACAGCTCAGCTTCCCAGTTTCCTCGTTTGCTTCAAACTCTTCCTGAAAATTGAAATGGAATCGATGGCTACACATCAGGTGCCGAGTAGAGGTGCAGGAAGTGAGGAGGGAAAAGAGAAAGAGAAGGGGCATACTTGACAAATGCTACATCTCCTATCCATTTCTGTACAAAAATGCTTGGGGTTGAAGGCGGAGTACTTGACCATCCTAAGGCTTTGAATGATCTCGTCTTCACGAAGCCCTGTACTTACATATCCAATCCGGTCCTCAAGATCGAGCAATTCCTGTCAAGTGAAATAGTGAGCGATGATGAAGGCATAAAATCTTCTGTTTTATTTTACATGGTATGCAGTGAGAAGATACCTCATATGTCATGTTGTCAACATCGAGGCGCCAATCCTGATACTGATCATAAATACCCATTCTTCCCAATAATATCCTTGTTCGGAACATCATCTGCAAGTCACAAATAAGAAGTTCGAAAAATTAAAGAAGAAAACACAGCACCTAAAAAAAACACTGACTAAAGACATCATCAGGTTCAGTAGGGGCTCCTGAGCCCCTCCTGTTCCCTAAAAAAAAAGACATCATCAGGGATCTCCCCTAAAAATACTGCAGGATCTACAATGCACATGGATGACGGGGTGGAAGCACACCAATAGCCAGGTGTCGATCTCCTCGGTGTGTGCGTTCTACGGACTAAAATACCATGTGTATAGAACAAGTACATAGGGCTACAGACTAAAATACCATGGAAACAGTACTGTTAACTCCTTTACCTGAACACCTAAGTACTTCAACCAATAATTGCAGCACTATAATGTAATAACAAAGAGCACCTTTCACTGACAAAAATGCTAGTTCACATTCTATAATACCTTCTTATACAGCTAATTAACACCTACTGCTACTATAGAACGAACCTACTTGAACACAACACCTAATTTTAATCATTGGTAAAGTGTGTAATCCATTGCCACTGGCTCATTCCAGAAAGCTTGGTAAACAGCAAAACAAGCATCATTTCAGCAACATGGTTGTTCAGCTCAGCACAATGATTCAACATTGATGCATATAGCCAGAACTCTGCATCTACACTCAAAGTCCCACCTGACCACCAAACTTATCTATTCCTGAGCCATGTTCTCCTATTACGGTATCACCTGCCGTCATGTGAACCCACATATCTGTGGCCGTTTCCTCAATGGGTACGCTACCAGCAAGTAGAGTAGAGTAGATAGCATGGGGTACCACACACTTCCCAAGGCGCAGCCTGTTCTTAGCTACTGGATGTCTAACTCTAACAGAAAGTCCATGTTAGTTGACACTCCATATCTCAAAAGGATGATATCATGTGAAACACTCAACTAACAAATGAAGCAGAAACACACACACCGGAAGTCACCTATAATTATAAAAAGGGGTCCTATTGCAGGCAAGGACTTCATAATAAGGTTTTTTAAGGCTCTGAAGTCTGACCACAGCGACGCATTGTGAATTTGTAGTTTGCAGAGTTGATTCATAACAAAATTCATATCCAAGCACACGACACAGTGAGCTGAACAGAATAGATGCTGCGTAACTGTATCGTACCTCTTCCTCAACTCGTGCTTGGGAGTGCCGGCGGGCACTCATATGTCGGATGCGTCCAGAAGGTGCACGGTCGGCATCAACGAACGGCATGTCATGGTGTGGCGGTGAACTCAGAGGAGACGAGGACATGTGCTCCCGCATGGTGACCCTCCTGGCCGGAGGCGCGCCAGGCCTCTGTCACCGAGGAATAATCAATGGTCAATTAGCAGGACGAGGTAGAAATTTGAACGGATTAATGGAGGAAACAGCTACGGGATGGCAGGACTAAAGCGAGAGACATGAATGAGGAATGACTCGTGAACATGTGACGGCATCCATCAAATCTGGGCACAGCAAACTATGAACGGTTTCAGTACGAACGAATAGATGCAGAATCCTGCATCCAGGACCGAATCCGCAACGAGCAAAGGGAGAGCGGTAAGGCTAAGGCATACCTCCCTGCGCGGCCTGTCGGCCTCGGCGCGGCGGCGCGCGGCCACCGTCTGGTGCGGCGCCACCACGCAGTCCACCGAGGAGGCCTCGGCGGCGAACGGTATCCCCGGCGTGCACCACACGTCCCCGCCGCCGACGCCCACCCCGGCACCTCCACTGACGCCACCGCCGCCCCTCGCCTTCCGCCTCTCCCTCCCGTTCCTCCGCCGCCTCCCGCGCCACTCCTCGGAACGCCGGGGCGCGCCCACCGGCGCGTGAGCCTGGGCTGCCGCAGACGCGCACCCGAGCCCGCGCCAGTCCGCTGTGGGCCACGCCGCTTCGGGCGCGTGCGCCTGGGACGCCGCCGCGCACCCGAGCCCGCGCCAGTCCGCCGGAGGCCGCGGGGTCTCCGGCGCGATAGCCTGCGACGCGGCCGCGGACGTGCAGCGGAGGCCGCGCAGCAGGCCCTTGCCCGGCGCCCTCGCGGCCTCCGCCTCCGCTTGACCACCCGACGCGAGGAGCGCACGCAGCGCCACCCGCCGCCGCTCCGCCCCCGGTGACCCTCCGCCGCCGCCGTCGCGGGCCATTCAAACTTCGCTTGCTCTTAGCCTCCTCCTGCGTGTCGATCGTGCGCTTCTGCTTCTCGGTAGCCGGTAGGTGAGGTGACGACTCGGAAGCTGGAATTGAAGAGGACGAAGTGGGCGAGATGGGAGGGAGCAGTTGATAAAGCACGCGCGTCGAAGCGTCACGGCCGTCCGCAACCGTCCGATCCGCAGGGTCGCCGTCGATCGGACGGACGGCCGTCGACCAGCTGACCGTCCAAAAGAATTAAACGTCGGTCTTGCAACTGCCAAACAACGGCACACGGATTAATGACATGGATTAACCTTGTAAGCTCGTGGTCTCGTGGACGAAGAGGCGGATAAGCATCGGCCTCCGGGACCCGACAGTAGAGTAGACACGCCTGCCTTTCGGCAACCACCGTGGCGCGCAGGAAGGCGAAGCTTGGAGGTCCGGCAGCTCAATCAATTGGCTGCAGGTATCCTGGCAGGAATGTCAGCCTCTGAAGCTTTATTATCACACAACGGTGCCATCTTCAGAGTCAGAGAAACACATCTGAAAGTGAAAAACAACGCCCACGTTTCAAATCGATACCCGTTTCTGGAACCAATCGGTGAGTGAGTGTGGAGTGTGAACGACTGGCATGGAGGCGAGGGAACGGCTGCCGGGTCTTTGTTGCACTCCCGTCAGCTGTTTCGGCAGCGACCAGCGATAGGACAGTGGTGGAATGTTCGTCTTTACTGTTGGGAGTTGGGACGACGCTGAAGAGACTGTTTTGTTGTCTCTGTGTAAAATGTTCATGTGAAGGTCAGACGTCGCCGTCGTCATGGATCAGTACAAATACTACTACATGGGTCGGTCGTCGATTGTTGTCTCTGCCTAGCGTTGTAGATTGTTTGTACGTGATTGGACGTGACAATCGACAGGTGTGACTGATGGGTACTTGAACCAGACGAGTGTGTTTGTGCTGGCGTCGGGATTGTCTGGTTGGAGTGCACGTGAACTCTGTTCTAGAGTGTCCTATGTTTACTGATGCGAGCATTGTGGCAACTTTGGGCTTCATTGGCAGTGCAGCCACGTTCTCGTCAGAAGCTTTCCAGAACCTTGGAGGGTGTTTGATCCCAAGCTAAAACTTAGCATATCTTCAAATAATGGGCTGAACATGGGCTAAGAGCTTGCTTGGATCGTGAGGGCTAGTTACTAGGTATGACTAAAAATTAGCCTAAATTAGTTAAGAATGGCAGCTTGTTGATTAACAACTAGTTGTATGCTTGGCTAACAAATTAGCCCACCTATTAGCCATATTCTGAATAGACTAGGGCTAATTTTAACTATTTTTAGCTAGCTAACAATTAGCCCTTATACCTAAACAGGCCCTAATTATAGAATAATAAGAGCTAATTGGTTTTACCGACCAATTATTAGCTCTGTTAATTCTTAGGGTAAAGTATATTTTTCAAAGTTCAACTTGCATGGGAGTTCGATTTTCAATCCTAAATTATGAAACTAGGTACTAGACACCTTCAAGTGTTGAAACTGGACAAATTTGGTCCTTTAGCTAGTTTCAAAGGTGGTTTTCTATTTTCTAAAATAATAAAACTTGTTTTAATCTCAATAAATTCATAACTTATTTATTTTAAAAATGTGAAACTAATACCATTTTTTTCTAAAAAATATCCATTGGTGCTCTATTTGGAGTTATTTGAATCTTATTTGTTCATGTTTCTAATAAACCAGACCACAAGCAATAAAATAATAGAAACAAAAACAAATAATTCTCAAATAACTATAAATTTATGTAAGTCAAATTTCTTGTACCAGCATAAAACTGAGGATAGAGATAGATTCGTTTATTTTAAAACCGATCTTTGTCGAACAAGATCTGTAATTACCAATGGATATCCCCTTCCCGAGAGTTTTCAATGCATCTATCATCAACAACCTCCTCCTCCACATCAGGGTTTGCTATGAACCCGTTGTTGTGTCTCTCTATCCACGAGAAGTTGTCCAAGAACTACTAAGGGCCGAACTAAGAAAAACAAGTAATAAAGGAGCCCCTCTACATCATCTCCTACCTCTAGCTTTCCGTTTCAAGCTTCCACGTCTCTAAATTTGTATAGGGCTCAACTATGGCAAGTGCAAGTCACCATATGGATATGTGCGGTGCACACCTTGAAGGATGTTTCACCATTGTTGTTCATACTCCCGAAGCCAATACTGATGGCAAGCAAGAAGAGAAGGTAAGCCAACAATCCTAGACCCAACATTTGATGAGTGGAGCACTTCAGATGAGTAGGTCCTTTGTTTTCTTCTTGCTTTTATTCAAGCGATTGTCTCACAGGTTGTGACAATAAACATGTGAACAAAGCCTAAAAAGCTACTCCCTCCATTCTAAATTATAAGATGTTTTGGCTTTTCTAAATACATAGTTTTTTCTATGCACTTAAATCAAAACATCTTATAATTTGAAAGATTCAAGATATCTTCTTCTTGTAATGGGCACCACTAAAGATGCACCAAGAAGGATCCATGCCAATCAAAAGGGCACTTCATGGAGTCATTAGAAGCTAAGATGGCGCCGGCTAGAAGAACGCTAAACGATGAAGAACTTGTTCGATACATCATGGAAAGGTTGGATTATGAGCTCACCCCATTTGTTTCTACACTTGTGGTGCGATCAAATCATATATCAAAATCTGAGTTTCATGCATAACTACTTGCGCTCAAGACTAGGATGAAACTTCTTCAAGGCGAGAAGCTGCCTATCCGGAAATGCTCGACTTTTGGAGCTAGTGATGCTACTCAGTATAGAAGTGCTGTTGGTGCTTGGTTCATTGCATTATCTAACTTTGACTAGAACTAATATCGCTTTCTCTATTAATGTTAAGGTATGTCAACTTTTGCATAAGCCTACTATAGATCATTGGGTATATACAAAGAGAATTTTGAAGCATATCAAACAAGATGTTGATCTTGTGCTTAAGATAAGTCAGTCATCATCAATGGTTGCGAGTGCATATTGTAATACATATAGGATGGTAGCTTGGATCATAGAAGGTCTAATGGATTTATTGTATTTTTTGGTCTCCAATCTGTTACCATGTGGTGTGTTGTATGTATTGTAAGCTAGCTACACTTTAAAGGTCTAGTACCGAGTCTAAAAACCCTTGCGCTAATGCAACTCATGAAAATATGTGGATTAAATTATTTTTTTTGCAAGAATTTGGATTTCAAGTCCTCGTGCTATTTCATTGTAGTGTGATAATATTGGATGAAATATCTTTGTTCAAATCCTGCTTATGCATGGAGCAAACATAGAATATGTTGATTAGCATTTTGTTAGAGAATGGGTGACTAAAAATGTCGAAAACTTGATTTGTTCTTTCTGGTGATCAAGTGGTAGATGGATGCACAAAACCTTTTAAATGTTCGGCATCTAGAAAAATTCAAGAGCAACATAACAGTTATGAGAACCAGATAGCGTGCCAGCTTGACTCGTTAGATGGTTAGAGCAAGGTCAAGAATTTTTGAGAAGTGTCTTGGCTATAAGTCAAGTTATAATTAAGAGCCAAGTTATACAATAATTGTTCCATATTTGTCTTCAAAAAGTTTTTCTTTTCTATTCCTCCTCACAACACTTGTTACTTTGGCCCACTACTGCATGGGCTCTCATGCCCATCTTATTGCTTGCATGAAAGCCAAGCTCTCGTTGCTTCAAAAATAAAAAATAAAAAGAGAGAGCCAAGCTGTCATCTCTCTCCGCTCTTCTATCGTCTCTCATCCACATCATCATTATTAGCTTGGCTATAAAACCATTATTGTACTTGCTCTCGTTAAGTTACCCAGATAGTTCAGCTCAGCTTGTTTAGTGTGTGAGCTAGCTCATTAACAACCACATCGAACGCATAAATTAGCAATTGCTAACTTGTTCTATACAAACATAAAGCAAAAATAAATATATAATATTTTTTATGAAATAATATGCATAGAATACATGAGTTTCAGACTTCAATATCATGCATACATCATAACTCATAACATCAAGTATTTGGCTTGTTTAGTCTGTGAGCTAGCTCATTAACTTAACAAGTTAAAATATGCTGGCTTGGCTCATTAGAAAAATCCGAGCGAGCTAACAAGCTATGGTTTTTTTTGTCTGGATCTAGTTATGAGTTCTGAGTTCTGACTAAGGAGGCGATTAAAGATAGAGTTGTATGCCTCTTGGAGTTGTAACTGAATTGATGTAAATCTTCTTGTACCAGCATAGGAATAGGGAGAGTGATAGCTAGGTTCTTTTGTTGAGACCTATCTTTACCGGACAATACTTTGTAACCACCGATGTAATAACCCCTTTACCAGGGACTTGGTGCTATATAAACACGCAACTAATCGCGCGCTCCACGGAGTAGAGAGGATTACACCAACGCTCATTGCCCTCAGATCACTGTTGCCGATCCAGTTCCAGTCCCGCACATGAGACGGCATCAGCTTATGAAACCCGTGCCGTCCTTTCAGATTCTCTGAACGCTGTTTGGTCTCGTACGTAGCTGACCGTGGAGTCGGTCAATGGAGTAGCACGATCCAATCGTCTCCATATGCTTAGTCACGAAGAGTCAGGGCGACAGGCTTAAAGCAACATTCATTTATGTCGAACAGAGACGCGATCATGGATCTCTTCTTCTTGGTTGATGATTCCAAGCTACACGCCACTGATGCAGCTGTCCCTGCTTGCTCGTGTTGCTGCAGCCGCAGCACCAAGGTTCAGCCGTCGATCACCCAGTGACGAGATGACAGAAGCATCGTCGGCGTAGCTGAGGTCCATGGATCGTGACAATGGCGCACGGCGGCCGGCGGGAGGTGGTGAGAAGGCCATGGTGGAGAAGGGGAGCACGTGCAGGAGCTAGCCTTGAAGCAACAAGCAAGAGCTTTCCTCGCTTCGACCGACGATCTCCACCCCCACACGCAGCAGGTGTGCGGGGTCAATGGATCGGCGCGGCCGTGCTCCGGCGTGTCTCTGCACGTGCCCTGCTTCTCCAACAGGGACCTTCTCACCAAGCACAGGAAAAACACCGGTAGGTCGGATTGACGCATGCATCAAGTGCTAACGGCGGGGCCTGGACTACATTGCAGCAGTACTTTATGTGTAGCTTTAGAGAAGAGTGGGAGTGGAGAATGTACAAGTAGCGAACAGCGTCTATTGGTGGGTTTATATAGGCGCTGAGCGGAGACGCCGGCCTGGATGGCTGGATGCGAACATGTAACACACACACACAGAGGACACGCAAGGGGGAGCAGAGTAGGGTCGAGTCTTCAAGTGAGTTTGAGTGAGAAAGTGTCAAGTGTGTGTCCATCATGTGCAAGGGTGCAATAGACTGCCTACAAAAATAAAGCTGTTTAGGACCACTTTAGTAGAGCTTCACTTCTTAGTCTTGAGCTTCACTTCTTGATTCTCCTAAGGAGTGATTCTAGTGGGAGTAAGGTGGAGAGCAGTTGAGAATCAATTCTAAAGTGATTTCTGTGACAAATGAATAGGGAGCAGCGGGAAGCGGTGGAGAGCGATTTTTTTAGCTCCCAGCTTATAGTATAAATGGAGAAGTGGTTCTCGTCAACTCCCCACCAGATTCAAGTTGCATTTTAAGTGTTTGGCGGGTCTCCACGGAAGCTGAGAGTAAAGCTCATGCTAGGAGCAATATCAAAGGGGCCCTTATTATGACATCATGGTTCCCTTGTATATTCTATATCAATTTAATTTAAGTAGGTTACTCTCTGGAAGGTGATGCAACATGCCATGACGTTACTACCTCCATCCACAAAAGGATACAACTGCGTAATCTATGTAAGGCAAACTAGTTTAACTTTGAACAAGTTTATAGTAAATAGTATTAATGTTTAGGTCTCCAACTAGATTTACTACAAAATATCTTTTATAACTAATTAATTTAATGATACTTAACTTGTAACATAAATGTTATTATATCCTTTTTTATATAACTTTGATCAAACTTTAAATTGTTTGACTCCTTGCAAAATAAGAATTGCATCTTTTTATGGAGAGGAGTAACTAAAAAGAAGAAAATGTCACTCGCAGAGAAGACTAAAAGAGGGAGTAGTCTACCTCAGGTCAAATGCAAAGTACTTATTTTCTCAGGCGTCAATGATTTTGCGCCCTCTGATCATGATCCAACGTTAATTAAACTTCATTTCTTCATTCTCAAATCATCCCCCATTCGTAAGAGAGGATGTAGTAGCTGAGCAGGGCCCTCGAAAACTAGGGCGTGGGAGGAAGAGAAGATATTATCATAATAAAATCCTCTCCAAAGAGATATCCTAATGAGGTGCCTAGTATCAAATTAATTCAATGGCCCTCGGATGAGAATCCAACGGTCCTTGAGTCTTGTTGAAGCAATGGTGTACTGTGGCTGATTCCTCTTCTTTGCGAAAACTCCCTTGTCTCTACTCATCACCCATCACTCACTGAAACTCCTGACGCCCTTACTATGGCGGATTAGGCTCGTGCCATAGATGGAGCCAAGTTGGAGCCACCGGCCGGCCTAGCTCTTTGAGGCAGGACTACCTCGTCATGCAAGCTTTTGGCCCAGTTTATTGGATCATCTAAAGATTGTTAGGATCTATCTGATCTAAACGTACGAGGTTAGCTTTTGCTCCTGCTTTTTCTTCAGTCCACAAGCTTTCTCCCTCTCTTGTTTTTGCCACCGTACCATATATGCCTGTTAAAAGCTCTAGCCAATAATCTAAATGAGGGCCGGCTTTTAACAATCTCTATAGCTGATCCGCAGAGAGCCTTTCATTAGCTAACAAGTAAGCTTGAAAATCAAGATAAATAATATGCATGTGAAGTAGCGTTGGATGGATCGATCTGCACTGCTATGAGCAATTTACTAGTACATACGTACGTACGTATCTGAGTGCACATGCATGTACGTACACTAGCAGTAGCAGGTACTCCTACTAGACTGCTGCAGGAAGAGAAGAGAGAGGAGGCAGGAGGCTGTCAGGCTGTGGGCATATGTGCCACGCAGCTGCAGAAGCAGTGGGGCAAATGATGATGGGTACACGACCGAATGATGGCAAGGCATGGCAGCATGCACAGCCCTGTTCGCTTGCAGCTGGCTTATCAGTTAGAGTATACAGATTTTTTTTCGACAATAAAACAGCAGAGCTGCCAAACATAGCCAATTGGGGAACAAGCTCGGGGAGCAAGCCTGAAGCAACCAACTACCATCCCAGGTCAGCATTCAGCCTTCTCCCTGCAAATCCGCCTCAGAAAGCCCCTGCCCGATTTCAACTGCCCTGGTTGGCCACCAATTTCATAGGGCCTGCTCATTATTTGGTTGGTCTTTGGTCTTGTTGGCCACCAAGAAAAACAACAGAACTTTCATAAAAAAAACTGCAAAAAAACTGCAAAACTCGCATTATATGTACTGCCATCGTGCAATCAGTCTGTAGTCTGTGCAGCTGATCTGTTCATCTCTTCTGTCGTGCGGGGCGCGAGGATCGGATCGGAGGAGATCGTCTCGTCGCGGACGCTGAGGCCGTTGACCTCTGCAGCTGCGCAGCTGCAGGACCGCCAGGACGCAACACGCAACGCCTCTCCTGTCTCCTCCGTTCGCGTGCCTTTAAATCTGACTTAGATCCGTTTTTTTTTTTCATCCGAAATAATATTTTTTTATCACAAATTCCTTTAGCATTCCTTCAAACCATCTAAATTCCTCTAGAATTTCTCCAAGGCTGCTGCTGCCCTGTGCTTGCCATGTCCGGATCACGGCAGTTGCAACCTGCCGCGCCAACAAGCTGCTGCTCCCTCTCCTAACCGGCCGTTGCAGCTGCCATGTAGGAGCTGTCCAGCCCGCCTCCGCCTTGATTTCTTCAACTGTCCTCCTGTCCTGACTCCTGTCCATGCGATGACGCGATCGTTCGTTCACCATCTTGTTCTTGGATTGCCATGCCAGAGCCAGACCAGCCGGAGGAGATGCCGCCGCCGGCCATCCGCCTGGGGCCTCCGCACCCGTACCTGAAGACGCACGGGGGCAAGGTCGCGAGCCTGCACCGGTTCGACTGGGCCGTGCTGCTCCTCCTCGTCGCCGCCGACGTCGGGCTCAACCTCATCGAGCCGTTCCACCGCTTCGTCAGCGAGGACATTGTGAGACCCAGCCCATTGGACCAAGTTGGGCCGGACCGAATTCTGGTTACTGTAGAGTGGGCCTGGGGTGTTACAGACATGCTCACTGACCTCCGGTATCCGTTGAAGAGCAACACCGTGCCCGTCTGGGCCGTGCCGGTACATACTATATACACACACAGCTAGCCTTTAATCCCTGCGAGAGAACTTGCAGAATTACTCATCGCTGGTGGATTAGTAAAAAGATTGTTGCTTTGGAATTAAACCGCGCAGATATACGCGGTGATCGGCCCGATCATCGTCTTCGTCGGAGTGTACCTGAAGAGGAGGAACGTGTACGACATGCACCACGCCATTCTAGGCAAGCTCTTGGGCCTTGGCCCTCGCGCCATCAGTTTTTTCAGCTGTTCTTCTGCAGGCTCTTCTGACTTGTGGGTTCGGTTCACGTGGGGTGGCTGAGCAGGGCTTCTGTTCTCCGTGCTCATCACCGGCGTCCTGACCGACGCGATCAAGGACGACGCGTTGGCCGGCCGCGCCCCCAACTTCTTCTGGCGATGCTTCCCCGACGGAGTGCCGGTGAGTTCTCTGTTCTGATTTTTTGCTCTTGATTATCACCGCATCGTGCGCTGAAAATGAGTGATTCGGTCGCTCCGTTGCAGAAGTACGACAACATCACAAGAGGTGTCCTATGCGACGGCGTCGCGAGTGTGATCAAAGAAGGGCACAAGAGCTTCCCAAGCGGCCATTCTTCATGTAAGCGACCAGAGACCACCTGCAGGCTGCCGCTCTGAAACCAAGACATTCAACAGTCTGCTGACTGATCCTGAACATACCTTTCCTTCATGTCCTCCACTCCAAAATTCTATTCCAGGGTCCTTCGCTGATCTAGGCTTCCTGTCGTGGTACCTGGCGGGCAAGATGAAGGCGTTCGACCGGCGCGGCCACGTGGCCAAGCTCTGCGTCGTGCTCCTGCCGCTGCTGCTGGCGGCGATGGTGGCGGTGTCGCGGGTGGACGACTACTGGCACCACTGGCAGGACATGTTTGGCGGTGGGATTCTTGGTAGGCACTCTCCCCTGTTTCAAGTTTCAGTTGGCTCACCTACTGTCCGTGTCGTCCACCTGCTGCCAACTACGGAGTACTCTTCTCTTCTGTTCTGGATAGAGATGAGATCTCAGGCTCACGCGCTCGTTTGGTGTGGTGTGGTGTTGTCCCTGCAGGGTTGGTGGTTGCGTCGTTCTGCTACCTGCAGTTTTTCCCACCGCCATCCGGTGAACAAGGTACGCGGCTTCCTGTGCATGTGCAGTTGCTACACGAACGACAATCCAGCCTGCATTTGTTTATTTCCAGCATAGTACAGCGCTCACGTACACATTACATAACACGTAACGTAACACCCCCGTACTTATTTACTTACCTCTATAAACATACGCAGGCGTGGGAAGCTGAGTTAACTCAGTTGGAAACATAGCATGCATAGGAAGCTGAACTAATTCAGTTGATCGAGAGTGTAGTAAATGTAAGCATAGACCATTTAGATTCAACTTCTCATCAAGATGAATTTAGATGTCTATTTTCTTCTTAATTAATTATTAGTTATAATTATGATTATATACAATTAATATAAAGATGCTACCTGCTTCCGTATAGTTTTTTAAGGATTAAGTTCATTTTGTCCCTCAACTATTGTGTTGGTCTAATTTTAATCCACAACTACAATATCGTCTAGTACCGGTACCCCATATGTCAAAACTGTTCACTTTTACCACCTGGGCGGGGGCAAGGCTGTTTTAACCGACGTTGAGCGGTTTTGATCACGCCACGCTGGCGTTGACCGTCACGTAGGACGCTGGCTATGGCAGAACCGATCGAAATAACACACCTTCGGAAACTCCCGTCTTCCACCAGACACTAAGCACCCCGAAAGCAAGCTACACCAGGCGGATTCCGTCGAGCACACCTCAAGGGAGAACTCGAATAATCCACATTTTTTCCTCCAGGATCTAATAATGAGAACGAATTTACAATACTTAGTCAATTTCATACAACCAGAGTCTTAGAAATACATTATTATAGTACAAGTTAAGAGTGCGGAAATTAAACAGTGGAATTAAAATAAACATCTAACGGTAGAATACAAGGATCCGTCTGTGTCTACCAGAAGAATCATCCATACAACAGCTACTCTTCAAGCTGCACCTGCAGCAGGGGTAAATAAACCCTGAGTACACAATGTACTCACAAGACTTATCCGACTAGTTGAAATAATTTTCTGACTCTAAAGGATATGATAAGCTTTATGGGTTGCTGAGTTTCCTTTTTACGAAAAGCAATACTAGTTGTAAATCCTTATGTATGTGTTTTATTAGCAGTCATGATTAGTTCATTAGCTAACCATTCTACGTAAGTCCCGGTTTTACTTTCAAGCAAGAGTTGAGCAATCAGGTCAATTTCACCATCTTTCATCTTTCGGTTCTTACTACGGTGCTAGATTGTAGACAAGTCGTACCGGGTTACCCGGCGATTCACGAATCAATGTGCCCAGCTGGGTACTCCGAAACACACGCCCCGTTTGCATCCCAGGCACAAGCAGGACCAACCCATCACTCTCCTGTCAAGGGGTCTAGGTCCCCGTCCAAACTTGGACTCCAAGCCCCCACACCTGAGTCTCGGACTCAGTGTAGTGCTTAGACCTCTACCATCCCCACCTCCAATTAGTCGGTCCGGAAGAGCCAGAACCCACGATAAGAAAGTAACGAGCCTTTCCTGCTCCCATAAATAACTATGTGCTCAGGATAATAAATCTATGACCTGACTAGAATCCAATGCAACGGTCGATCCTTAACCGACACGGACACGAAAAACAGTGTAACCAAGCTATGCCCCATTGGCCGCGGGACACAACCCCTTACACCCACCAATACCCGTACCATATCCATGCCCGGTCTCCATTTTTCTTTCACCATTTCATGATAAGAGTGATAATAATAATCACCTATTGTGAGTAACAACAGGTTACTCAAGCTACCGAAAATTCTAAGCATAGCAGCTACTCGATCTATGCTAGTAGCACTTATAGGTAGGTATATCTATGCATGTAGTTTCCATTAAATGCCTGTAACGTAAATACGCATCACACATATATATCCAGTGATCATTCAAAATAAGGGTTATGTACTGGGGCTTGCCTTGGACAGGCGTGGTGTCAGCAAAGTCAGTCGCTGGTGGCTCTAGGGCTTCCTCCTGTACGAAAATCTCCTCCTCGTACTCTTTAATTATCTTCTCGTACTCCTGCTCACCCGCGGTCACGAACTCTACCAACTCGTTATCTACATGCACAAAATGATGATGCAACGCTTAGTAATATGGCAACAGCAACTCTTAAAATAAGAATACATCTACCAAGCTAACTCTAATGACTAAGATGCTAAGCTACCCATCCTTTCCACTAAACAGGTATGAAACATTCGAGTATTATCTTAGCAATCAAAAATGCATTTCTTACTTTATTTATGATTTCATATGTACTAAAACAAGGAGTACTTAACTACCCTATTTTTCAACCTATTCTAAGGCTACAAAAATCACAGTGAGCACATAATAATAGAATGAACCTACTGTAAAAATTTCAAAGCTATTACCAATTTACCATAAAAATTCCTATAAATATTAAACTAAATAATGCTAAGCTTTCCTAAATAAATTAATGAACCTAACATCCACACAGATAACTATAAACTAAATACACCAACAGATAGATCACATTTTTATAAACCTAACAAATTTTGTTTCACTATTTTTGGACGCCTACAGAATTTACTATAATTTTGCAAAGATCAGCTCAAAACTAAATTAGAAAAACATTTGCTAATTTGTTGGAAAAAGAAAAACCAATCCTCGCGTGGCCCATCCGCGCGGCCCACACGTGCGCAGCGTGACCCACAGACACGGCCCACGCGCGCAAACGGCCCACGACAGGGGAGCCCGCACGTGTGCCGACCATCTTGCAAAAACACCCCTAAAATCTGGACAAACTAACCCGTAGTCCATGCCACTATTCCTAGAGAGAGCAACTATACAACAAAACCCTTGGAAACACCCTCCTTTACAACGGCATGGTCCTCAGCCACCCGCGCGCGCGCCGGCACGGCGGCGATGGCATTGGACGGCCATGCCGGCCAGCTGAGACCCGCGCTGGCTCCACTAACGGGCCGATCCCCGTCTATAACCCTAGCGCCTACACTAGCCTAGGTTATAGGAGCGGCGGAGCTCGCGGAATTGGCGACCACGGCGCGCGGCCATGCGCGACAGTGGCGCAACCATGTCGGCCACCCACAAGCCACCACGGGGAGAACTAGCTAATGCTATAGCATCACTGTCGTACCTTGGTTACAGCTGTGGTGATGGTTTGGCCAGGGATTCCCCGAACCGGGCTGGCCACGTGCGGGTGGCGGAATGCGGCGACGCTCCGAGACGACGCGGTCGAGTCAGTGGTGGGGTGGAGCTGGTAGCGATTAAACCAAGGCACGCATGACGAAGAGGAAGGCAAGGCGTACCTACAGGCATGGGCAATTGGGCTTAGGTGGAGAGATGGGAGGCCTGCCCTCGGTCATGGTCGCGGCGTGGCCTTAACGGCATACTGGCGGGAAGATGCCAAATTGGCGCCTGGTCGGGCCTTCAACAAGACGGTGAGGGGTCAGACGGTGAGGAGACGTGAGGGTGGAGGTGCAGACGAGACGAATTGAATAGAGGCGACCTATCTCTGGCGCACTCATGGGCGCAAGGCGTCGGCGGCGGTAGAGAGAAACAGAGGGGGAAAGAGGAAAAGAGAGAGAGACGGCACGACAGTGAGCTCGGCTCATCCACGCCTTGGCGGGATGCGAGTGACAGGACCGGGAGACCCACACGTCGGCGCTAGTCGATGGACGTGCGCACCCAACCGGCGTGGCCCGCACGGCCGTAGTGCCATAAATGGCATAGCGACGGTAGCGCGCCCCCGTGTGCGTGGCACCAAACCGGGCCAGCTACGAGGAGCGGGCGCAACAGAGAGACACGAGCTCGACGGATGGGACGGCAACGGCAGCGACTAAGGCATGGCATGAGGCGGTGGTGGCGCGTCAGCGCGCGAGCAGGGTAGAGCCACCCCACCGTGCAAGCAGCAGCAGCGACGGCTCCACGTAGTCGAGCCAAAGTGGCCAAGACAGGGCAGCCGTGGCTGTCCAATCACGATAACGCGCGCGCACGTACAGATCGCACCGCGCGCAGCGGCGACGCGCCCCCGAGGCATGGTGACCGCACCTACGCGAGGAAACCGACTAAGGACGTGCCATGCACCCTTTTTAAAGCATCCAAATCAACAAATCGGTTGGCCAAACACCCAAACCATCTTTGCTATACCTAGGAGGGTATATTAGGCTACTAAAACAAGCCATAATACAACACCACTTCTTAACCCAATTTGTCTACAAAAATTACCAAACATAGCTTTGTCAATTTGTTTTCAGACATAAGAAATCGACTAAGTCTTGGATTGGATTTGCTTCAAATTCGATTTCCCAGCTATTAAAAATGTTAGCTAGTGTTATCATTTTTTGACCGCAGGTATTTCGTTGTCATCTACAAAGTTTGTACTTCAAACTTTATTTAAATATCACATACATGTTCTATAACATTTTTGCTTACTAAAAATTGGTTTTAAACCCTATGTGATATAACATGACTATTGAATTAACTTTCATTTCGCATTTCCGTTGATCGTTTTGAGTTACGGAAGTTGATCTACACTCTTTATTACATGCATTAACACATAAACATGATGCTCATGACATGTTTTTGTAAATGATTTATAGTGTAACACTGAGGGTGTTACAAATCTACCCCATAAACAAAATCTCGTCCCGAGATTTCATGTGCCTAGTGTGGGAAAAGAGATAAGAAATACATTTCAATGTAAACAACTACCTCAGTGAACTAGAAAGAAGGTGGGGATAATGCTTCAAGATATAGCTTTCTTGCTCCCACGTTGCTTCGTCCTCCGAGCGATTTTGCCACTGAACTTTGTAGAACTTCACCATACTGTTTCTAGTCACTCTTTCTTTCTCATCTAAGATCTTGACAGGATGCTCAATATAAGACAAGTCGGGCTGGAGGGGAAGTCCGTCAATTTCCACCGCTTCATCAAGGACCCGCAAGCATTTCTTTAATTGGAAAACATAGAAGACATTATATACTGCTGACAAAATATCCGGGAGCTAGATACGGTAGGCAGCAGAACCACACTGGGCCAAAATCTTGTAAGGTCCAACATAGCGAGGGGCTAGCTTCCCATGGACACCAAATCGATGTACACCTCTCATAGGAGATACCTTGAGATACACATGATCACCAACTTCAAATTGCAAGGGCCTTCTTCGCTTGTTTGCATAAGTTTTCTGACGACTTTGAGCTGC